GCTATGATTTCTTTTATGCTTTGATTTTATTTTTGTTTTCTGTAAAACCAAGGGGACCTTCCACCCAGGACGAACCTCAACCTCCACATTCTCATTTTAAATCTCATAAAACTCGTCCCTCACTACCTGAGTTATTGGTTGAGAGATCCTAGGGAATACAATCTTGGCCCTAAGTCCAAGTAAATATCAACCTATCATAAAGGGATAAGTTACACATTCTTTATCATTTCGTCTTTATTTTTATTCAGTGTTATTTAATTTACTTTCAAAGCCTTGTCAATGGTTTCTGACGTTTCCCATAAGGGCATAATCGATAATTCAGACGCCCAATTCTCTCAAATATCGATGGCCAGAGCGCATCTCTAAACAGAACTTCATTCTGTGATCAGTTTTGTAACTCAGCTACTTCTGGGGTGCATGCCCCACTATGCATGAGACCCATCAAAAGTATGAGCTACCCCAAACACAAGATCGTATTTCTGGACGATTGGTCCATTTACTAGCTGGACAGGTCCTTGAGTCCGAGTCTTAGCCCTATGATTGTATCCCACCTCATATTCGAATACAAAGATGAAATCCCAATAATCAATAAGCTTCAAGAGGTTAAATTCTCGAGGGGAGTTGCTAATGAAAACCCTCACGATCACCTTAGAAGATTCAAAAACTTGTTAGACACAGATCTAAGCGAAAATATGACTATGGGAACATGGGTTTATTTGCCTATTCCCTAAGAGGGTAAGCGAGAAAATAATTTGACGGTCGCGCTCATAACTCCTTCCGCACGTGGGAGGAGCTAACTCAGGCATTTCTGCCGCCTTGGTATCACCGGCGGATCCAGGATAAGGTATAACACTGGACCATATTTGAAAAGAGATGAAGAGGACTAGGCCATGGTCGGACCCAAGGGTCTTTGGGGGTATCCCGGGACACTCAGACCCCTAAAATTTGGAAAAGCGATTATCCAACCCCCGGTGGTAATTTGCGCATGGACAAAAAAATTATAATTAACAGTCCAGGACACCCTAAAATTTGAAAAAACGATTATGCTACTCTCGTTTGTGGTTTACGTATGGGAATATAAGTGGTAGTTTGGGTAATTAAAACCTGGGACACTACTATTATTAATAAATATAATTTTCATCAAGCTACAACTTTTGTGTTGTTCTATTCCAAACAATGTGTAATTTCAAAACCCAATTCTCTATCTTCAATTATTTTCAAAACCTAACAATTAATCTAATTACAAGCTACTCTTAATTTGTATTAGATTTTATGGTTGTACGATGAGTGTTGAAAGTGTCCTTTCAGATTTGAGTTACATCAAGAATAAATTTAGAAGCCGAATATGCGTTAGTTTGTGAATGATTGTCATGTAGGATATACCGAGACAAATTTGTTGAGCAATATAGACACCAAGTGTATTTTATAATTTTTTCATAATATGAAAATACATCATGGACATTTTTTTGCTAGTACGAGTTGGGTATTCTCTTATTTAAGAATTATAATTATTATTAATTATTTTTTTTAATTTACTTTATTTTTTAAAGAGGACACCCCTATGTATAATTGTTGGGTCCGCCACTGGACTGGGCCGTAACCCAACAAGCATTGAAACGAACACCTAAACTCGAAAATTTACAAGTGATATACTAGCTCTGAATCCAGGAGAGAGCTGGGCCATGGCTCGGGGGGCGGTCCCCCTAGATCCGCCGTTGCTTGGCATAATTATGAGTTAGTTTCACGACTTCTGAAATTCAAGCAGGGGGAAGCTAAATCCCTTTAAGAGACATGTTATCGATATAAAAAATATATCAAAGAATGACCTTACCATGGATTTCACGCCATCCAGCTCACAAGTTTGTTTGTAGATGCACAAAACCAAAGAATGGACAATAAATAAATGTTGTAGCTGGAGAAATTTTATGGGGAGAAACCAACAAACAAATCAAGGGGAGGTTGGGGGGAAATTAAGTGAACCATTGCCTAACAATCGATCTATGAAAAGATACCCAATTGGTAACTAGAGCATTCTGGATCCCTCGCCACAACAAATGCCGAAAAGGTCTAACGACCCCATCCATAATAACCGAGAACAAGGACAAGGGGTTAACTACACCCCTCTCAAAGACTTGACCAAGCGTCAAAGAGATATCCAAAATCTCCATTTGAAGACCAGAGAATTTTAAGCATAAGATAAGTGGTATCCAGATAAAGGTTTCTACTGTATGATCTATCGTAAAAATTGAGGAATCTAACACCCTCATCTTGATGCGGGGTTAGGTAATGAGCTAATCTTAGAAAAGATTCTATTGGGCGACCACCCCAATGTGGCATACAAAATCAAAATAGCTAACTGAGCTGGGAACGGCGCCCTTTGTGTCAACGTACCAAGAAAAATGGTGCCTCAGCCGCCAAATCATAATGGTTGTGAGCATATCCCAACTATAGTTCCCTATCCAACCAACACTAATAGGGATGAACAAGAGCTTGGGGGTCATAAAATTCAACAGATTGAGTGAGCCAGCGGAACTTTGCATATATAGCATCCTCTCCGTCTTGGTATTAAACTTCCAGGTCTTATTCTGGGGCACACAAACTAGAAAAGTGCTAGAATATGAAAATTTTCCTACTTTTGAGACATATCAGAAATCATCGACTATTTTCACACCCGGTGGCGTTAATTCACAATTATGGCCGCGGAAAATCGAATTGCGGGAGGAATTTCATTTTACTTGATACAAACCCCTTGAAAAATTCCTCAATTACACAAAGGATCCCTTTTCCTTTACGAATTGGAAGGGGAGACCTTTTCCCTAAGAAAAAGGGAAAAGAGTTTGAATTCCCTACCCCCTGAGGAAAGGGATCCTCTTCCTATAACTATCCAACTTCCATAATCAATAATACCACGAAATCATTCATCATAAAGGAAGTGAAGCCAAAGGCAATGTAGTAAAATATGTTTTTCTATGCATAAAGGGAACACATGAGTAAAAGCGTAAAAGCCTAGCATAAAAATGTAAGTTTTGTGTATAATCTTATTATACTAACTATCTGTCTCACTTAAAAATGTCACTACTCACGCTAATAATTTAATTTAACAACTTTTTTATTATAATGGAGCAAATTCTAATACATAAACAATAAGTTCACAGTCATAGAATGCAAGTCTAAGTTCCACAATAACAAAAATCACAAGTCATAACACAAGTTTAATAATCCAAATTGTCACAACTAAAGAAAATTATCTTAATGATAGAAATGAAACTTCATTAGTGCATCAATTTCAACATTTAAATCAAATTCTTCATCATCTCCATCATCATTAACATCAACTATATTGTCGTACTCGTGAACATTATCCTCTCTTAGTCTCTTAGACTATCACCACGAAAAGGAACATTTTCACCTCCATCCTCATTACAAACCTCCAAAATTTTGGCTTGTGGTTCTTCTTCTTGTTCGCTGTCTCTTCCACATATCCATTCATTATTAGAGTCTATATCTTCAAACAAAACTTCAAGACTTCTTGCTTGCACATGACATACACACGATCATTCATATTTTGCGTAAGGAATTTGTTTCTTTTCTTAGTATGAATCTACAAGAAAGACTTGCGTATAAAAGAATGAATAGAAGACAAACAAGTCAAACCTGATATGAATAACAGAAAATAATGGTAGTGTAGACTTACCCTCTCAATTGCACTCCAATTGCCCTCGCATCCAAAAGCACAACAAGTCAAACTCAACACTATGATGTAAAATTTCTGAAGCTCTAACACTTCATCTACAAATGAACTCCACCAATTAGTTGGATATTATGTATCCTTTACACTATGTTCATGAAGGAAGGGAGGAAAAGGAGGGGAGGGTAGGAAAATTTGGAGGGGAGGTTAAGTTTGGAAGGGAGGGAAATTAGAGGGAATTGGAAAGAAAATGTTGTTTAATGGAGGAAAGTGGGAGGGAAAAAGCAGATTGGGAATTGTGATATGTATTATATTTTATTGATGATAGAATAATTAAATAATTTAATTATGTGTTTATACTCTTTATATTAATTATGTAATGTGGATCAAATTTGTTCTTCTTTGTTAATTTTGTTAACTACAACAAATCAAAAGTTGGTTATTTGAATGAAATTTGTCAACCTATTACTAAAATTTTGTTAACTATTTTATTGAGTAAGAACATAGCAACTAAATATATAAACATACAACAAATTACAAATACATAAATTGTCCAAAAAGCAACAGGATAATAGTAATTTCCCAAACATAAGGTCACATGCTAATACTAGAAGTACATACATTCATCCAAAATAAAGGTATCCGCTAATACTAGACATACATAATACAATACGTCCTAAAGAAAGTCACATAATAATATTAGACTTACATAAGTTCGTCCAAAAGAAGGCAACCTGTTAGTTCATCGATATGCTAAATACCATCTACCAATTTAGTCTAAGATGAGGTTTGTTGGCCAAACCGCCAATACGATACGATTTATTTTTTATCATTAAATTAGTGGGCTTCTAAGGAATCCCCATTTCTATTAAACACTTTGTTCCCTCCTTTTCCCTCGAAATAAAACTCGAAGTAAGAGTTTAATAGAAGATTATTCAGGTTGAACCACGAGTACGATACAAATTTGCAAACACTATAATCAAGGTTGTCATGTCTGTGGTATGTAGATCGATATAACTGGGTTCAATCAATACTGGTCACCAAACTAGTTGAAATACCACTGTATGAAATGGTAGTCAAAGTCGGTCAATGTCAATCAAAATTGGCCTATACTAATTCTACCTTGATTTTACATAATCTCGAATTTAACCGAATTTGATCGTTTATTGCAAATTTTGACTAGGGTTTCATACCGGTGATCTTTATTCAATTTAAAATTTTTCCTAAATCATGTTTTTAAATCCTAAATAATGTTTTGACGATGAAGAATATTTTTTATTATAAAAATACGATAACCACAATTTAATGGAAATATCACTTACTACTCATTAATTATAATATTTTTTGTTGATCTACTTTCCATATTTTTTTCCCATAATTTACTCTATGCTCTAACTACTTGCTTGCTTCAATTAATTAATAATAAAAAAAGACAGATGAAAATAGAAAGAAACAAAAAAGTGAAGGGAGAGAAGCTTGGGACGCAACTGTCACTTTTCCCTCCAATTTGGGGGATCGGAAAGCACAGGAGATTTTCTCTCCTTTTCTCCTCCCCTAGTTACTGTGCATAGCTTAAAAAACGGGGGAAAGTTTTTTGGGACTCCAACTTTCCTCCTTAACTTTCTCTTCCCCTCCTTTTCCTTCGCTTATGAACAGAGTGTTAATGTCATTACATCAAATTGATCAACACATGGCGTTAGCAAGATGAATTTCATGCAATTGTCCCATTATTTTGAGTTTTTTTTTATCATATTTGGCCGTTCTACCAACAAATTCAGACAATGCTACTTTCACTTTTGGATAATTATGGTTAATCTTTTTGTTTGAGCCTGGAATATTCCAGGCGGTTTGTGAAGAACGAGCAAGCGTCTAATCCGGATGACGGGTGTACTCCAAGCTCCTTCAAAACAAGGGTCCGTGGGCGGTCACCCCGGACACCCTCCGATGCTAAAGTTAGAGATATAATAATAGTTTTAGTTGTTGTTTAGAGAGAGAGAGAGAGAGTAGTTGAGTTACCATCAATGCAGATATGAATGTATTTATAGTGAGTTAGCCTGGGTCCTGAGCATTAAATGCTATGTCAAGCGTTCCATACCGGTCCATGCTTTATTTAGACCGCCTGTGGCGGGCCATTAATGCCCAGTCATGCGTTGTTCGAGGCAAGTATCCTAGGAATATCTCCTTCCTCTGTCAACAACGACTCCTTGTGTCAGGCGGCCTACTCCCTGTCCCATCATAGAGTGGCCACCTGCCATTCTCTTTTCCCTATGTCCGCTCCTTCCCTGGGCCCTCTGCTGGGCCTCGCTTTAGCTCCCCCTTGTCGAGCCCTGGCTAATCAACCTTCTATGGGCTTCAAGCCCAACACTGCTCAACTATGGGCCCAACAATTGCCCTTTAGTCGTGAAAAGTTGCGGGTTTTGGCGGCTAATGACTTTGCCATTAATAGTTGAGCGATCCTCCTTGTAACCGCTACGTACTTGTTGCCCCTGGCCACCACAGAAATGGGGGTTTTCTAGCCGTCCCAGCTAATTCTTCGTGCCGAGACCGCCAGACATTTCTTTCAATTCTCAATCCTTGATTTGGATCTCCCCTCTCTGTTCGGTTCGAGTGAGCGCTTTCGCTGTCCACCCCATTTTGGTTCACGAATAACCTGGTGCAGTCAGCCACGACCACTGCAATTTCCGTACCTCTTGTTCGGATGACGAGTGTACTCCAAACTCCTGCAAAACAAGGGTCCGTGGGCGGTCACCCCGGACACCCTCCGATGCTAAAGTTAAAGATGGAATAAGAGTTTTAGTTGTTGTTTAGAGAGAGAGAGAGAGAGAGAGAGAGAGAGAGAGAGAGAGAGTAGTTGAGTTATCATCAATGCAGATATGAATGTATTTATAGTGAGTTAGCCTGGGTCCTGAGCATTAAATGCTATGTCAGGCGTCCCATACCGGTCCATGCTTTATTTAGACCGCCTGCGGCGGGCAATTAATGCCCAGTCTTGCGTAGTTCGAGGCAAGTATCATAGGAAGATCACCTTCCTCTGTCAACAACGGCTCCTTGTGTCAGGCAGCCTACTCCCTGTCCCATCATAGAGTGGCCGCCTGCCGTTCTCTTTTCCTTATGTCCGCTCCTTCCCTAGGCCCACTTCCTCTGTCCCATCATAGGCGGCCTACTTCCTCTGTCAACAACGACTCCTTGTGTCAGGCGGCCTACTCCCTGTCCCATCATAGAGTGGCCGCCTGCCATTCTCTTTTCCCTATGTCCGCTCCTTCCCTGGGCCCTCTGCTGGGCCTCGCTTTAGCTCCCCCTTGTCGGGCCCTGGCTAATCAACCTTCTATGGGCTTCAAACCCAACACTGCTCAACTATGGGCCCAACAATTGCCCTTTAGTCGTGAAAAGCTGCGGGTTTTGGCGGCTAATGACTTTGCCATTAATAGTTGAGCGATCCTCCTTGTAACCGCTACGTACTTGTTTCCCCTGGCCACCACAGAGATGGGGGTTTTCTAGCCATCCCAGCTAATTCTTCCTGCCGAGACCGCCTGGCATTTCTTTCAATTCTCAATCCTTGATTTGGATCTCCCCTCGCTGTTCGGTTCGAGTGAGCGCTTTCGCTGTCCACCCCCTTTTGGTTCACTAATAACCTAGTGCGGTCAGCCACGGCCACTCCAATTTACGTACCTCTTCTTTTGATGACGAGTGTACTCCAAACTCCTGCAAAACAAGGGTCCGTGGGCGGTCACCCCGGACACCCTCCGATGCTAAAGTTAGAGATAGAATAAGAGTTTTAGTTGTTGTTTAGAGAGAGAGAGAGAGAGAGAGAGAGAGAGAGAGTAGTTGAGTTATCATCAATGCTGATATGAATATATTTATAGTGAGTTAGCCTGGGTCCTGAGCATTAAATGCTATGTCAGGCGTCCCATACCGGTCCATGCTTTATTTAGACCGCCTGCGGCAGGCAATTAATGCCCAATCTTGCGTAGTTCGAGGCAAGTATCCTAGGAAGATCTCCTTCCTCTGTCAACAACAGCTCCTTGTGTCAGGCGGCCTAGTCCCTGTCCCATCATAGAGTGGCCGCCTGCCGTTCTCTTTTCCCTATGTCCGCTCCTTCCCTGGGCCCTCTGCTGGGCGTCGCTTTAGCTCCCCCTTGTCGGGCCCTGCCTAATCAATCTTCTATGGGCTTCAAGTACAACACTGCTCAACTATGGGCCCAACACTTTTAGAATGATGAATTCGAGGATTTAACCAAAAAGCAACATAATGCAATAGTCTGCTCATTTGATCTTCCCATCTCTTGTCAATGATCTTCAACACAATTTTGTATTTACAAAAATAGACATACAAGTCATACAAACCTTATGCAATCATATAACTATGTTGGATATTCCCCAAAGGCCGCTTTCCTTTTTACCTGACCAAATTCGAGGGACTACTATCCAAGCACGATAGTATGCAAACTTACCCAAAGGCTCCCCCCTTCTCTTCTCCCTTCATAACCTCTCTTTCTCATCTATAAGTTTTGTCATCGATCCTCTCGTCCTAATAGTAGCGAGGAGCGCAACCCCGAAAGATGAGGAGGAAGCCGGGGAAGCACCAAACTACAGTGGTGTTGCCTCTGTCTCGTTGGGTTGGAGAGAGAGTCTGGTATTTGGGGCGATTGTTGTGGTTGTAGTGACTGAGACATGTCTGTTGGAGATTCAAATATGGATTTTTTTTTGTTGCAAAAATGGGACGAAGAATCACAAGTTGTGTTGGGGAAACTGTTCCACTTTTTTGGGTTAAAATTACTCTAACTAAACGGTTTTGTTAGCCATGTCAGCAACAAACTGACGGCGTTAACGGAACCTGACGAATAAGAGATTAATAGATGTGAACAAATCTGAAATATTTAACTAATTTTAGTGACCGTATGATACTTTTTAATAATCAAATTGACCAACAATGCAATTTACCCGATAAACGACGTATTTTTTGTCATAGGATAAACGACGTATTTTTTAGGGTTAATATATTTGTATGGCCTAAACTTTGACCAAAATAAACATCCTGCCAATCTTTTCGATCTATAACATCCTGGTCCAAACTATACATCAAAATAACTAAATTGGCCAAACCCGATGTTTAACCGTTAACTTGGATGGTCAAATGTGTTGACTAACGGTCAACGCGCCACATCATCACCTAGTCAGCACAGAACACTTAAAAAATTGATTTTTTCCACCTATTACCATTTATCTCTTTTATTGTTTTTTCTTTTCTTTTTATATTTATTTTTAACTTAATTGAAATAATGAGATTATGTGGCTTTTTTGAAAATTTTAACATTTTTATGTTGACTGGGCGGTGATGTGGCGCCTTGACCGTTAGTCAACCCGTTTGACCGTCCAAGTTAACCGTCAAACGTCGGGTTTAATCAATTTAGTTACTTTGATGTATAATTTGAGCCAGGATGTTATAGATAAAAAATATATACGTTAATTTTTATTTTGATCAAAGTTCATGTCATACAAATATATTAACCTTATTATTCAAAAGCAAAACGACGTGGGGAAAACTATATAATAAAATCTGCAAGGGATCAAAGGGACAGAGAAGGCTCTCTGCTGTGCTATTCTTCTGCTGTTTGCTCAGCGCGATTCCCAACTGCCAACCGCCGGAGAATCTCTTCTCACTCACTCCACAGTTCTATCTTCCGCCACCGTCTCTGTTGCCGGGAAGCCGGAGGAACGGGGAAACGGAGAAAACTCAAAACTTCCATCACTAGGCCGTTTGATAGATCTTTTTTCCTTTGGTTATTGCAGACTACCGTGAATCCCGCACTTCTCCTCCGTACTTTCCCTCTCTCTGTTTTCCCTTCCTTTCTCTTCTCCCAAACACCAAAACGGAGTAATTTCGCGGTAATCCGAAATTTCGGCTTCTCTCTCTGTTTTCGCGTTTATTTCCATTTGTGAGAATTTTCTTTTCCCTCTTCTGTTTTCAGATTGCTTCTCACCATCTCCCTCCTCTCTGTGTCCCGAATCCTTGCTACATTGTTTCCTTCTAGCATTTCTCTATCTGCATATCTTCTAGGGTTCTGAATCAGGCGTGGAGTTCTTTCCAATGCCGTTTCTCTCTCTGTCCTGCACAGCCTGATTCTAATTCCTCAATCTCTTTTTCTTTCCTTGTCTTGTGAATCTGGTGGTTTGCTTATTATTAATTTTTCTTTCTGGAGTTTTTTTTTCTACTTGTATTTCTCTGAGAATTTGCGAGGGAAAAGGTTGTAGTATGATTCTGATAGAAGTTTGAAATCACGAATTAACCGGCGAAATGGATTCAGCGAGGAGCTGGTTTCACAAGTTTCAGCCTCGGGACAAAATGAGGTCCACCACGAGGCGGAAGGAGCCCGGTGAGGGCGGCGGTGGCGACAGCAGAGATGATTTCCCTAGGGACGACGATGAAGCTCTCTCCAACACCACTAAGCAGAAAGTTGCCGCCGCCAAGCAGTACATTGAGAACCATTACAAGGAGCAGATGAAGAATCTCCAGGAGCGCAAGGAGCGGTAAAATTCCTCTCTTTCTTTTTCCCCTTCTGTTTTCTGATTTGGTTATGATGGATGATGTTGTTGTCCTGAACAATGTGGGCGGATTTCGACGGTAAAGCTTGTGCGTGTTTTTGATAGTCGGAACTTGTTGGAGAGGAAATTGGCTGATGCTGATGTATCAGAGGAGGATCAGAATAACCTGCTGAAATTCTTGGAGCAGAAGGAAACTGAATACATGCGCCTTCAAAGGCATAAAATGGGCGTCGAAGACTTTGAACTTTTGACAATGATTGGCAAAGGCGCGTTTGGAGAGGTATATCTGTCGTTCTGTGTTTTGTCTCTCTTCAAATTTTTAGATTTCCTGATGGTCATATATTGTTCTGTTGCTTTTCTAGTACTAGATTGATGCGGAATGTACTTAACCCACAAAACAAAAGAGGGAGACGAATGAGAAACAGCTTGCTGATTCTATTCCTGCTTCTTCATGCTTTTTTCCCCCATAACCATTAATACCATTCTGTTATTGTCATTTCCTCACTTTATCATGGAAGTTTGATATGAAGTTCCTTCTTGGTCAGGTTAGAGTCTGCAGGGAAAAGACAACTGGCCATGTTTTTGCTATGAAAAAGCTCAAGAAATCAGAGATGCTCCGTAGAGGCCAGGTACAAATTAGTATTTTTCTTGCCTAACAGCATCTGTCTATTGGTACCACATTCATGGCTTCCTGATACTTTCCAGGTTGAACATGTGAAAGCTGAAAGAAATCTGCTTGCAGAGGTTGACAGCAACTGTATTGTCAAATTATACTGCTCTTTCCAAGACGAGGAGTTTCTTTACCTTATTATGGAATATTTGCCTGGTGGAGACATGATGACGTTGCTTATGAGAAAAGACACCCTGACAGAATATGAAGCTCAATTTTATGTTGCGGAAACTGTTTTGGCTATTGAGTCTATTCACAGGCATAATTACATCCATAGGTTTGTGCTTAAAGCTACAAGTTTGTAATTGAGCAGTCATCATCAAAAGATATGGGCGATGATGAGTTTCACTATTCCGTTCTTTCTTGGCATCAATTTGTGCAGGGATATCAAGCCTGATAACTTACTTCTTGATAGACATGGTCACTTGAGACTGTCCGATTTTGGTCTATGTAAACCACTAGACTGTAGTACCATCCAGGAAGGAGATTTTTCAGTGGTCAACAACCCTAATGGGGCTACACAAAATGAGGACCGCTCAGCAGCTCCAAAGCGCACTCAGCAAGAGCAATTACAGCATTGGCAGAAGAATCGGAGGACCCTGGTATGTTTTGTTCCATTGTTTTGTGAAGCTAATCTGATGCATCTGTATAGCATGTGTACTTGTCCTTCCTTAGACTAATGCTCAGAGACCTCTATACTACCAGCTTGGCGACTACCTTGTTAGCTGATGTGTTTTCCTTGGCTGATGTTTTAAATTGCTTTTCTTATTAAGTTGACTCAACTGGGACTATGCTAAAGAGTAATCTGAAACATATGCTCCTGCTCCTTAGATAGTCTAGCAAGCAAATGCATTTTTCTCAAATTGTGATGACAGACTGTTTCCTTCATATCTGTCACTATTTGGATATTATGTTTCCCCCACGCTAATGGTTGATGCTTGGCATTTTAGGCTTATTCCACTGTAGGCACACCTGACTACATCGCTCCAGAAGTGCTTTTGAAGAAAGGGTATGGAATGGAATGTGACTGGTGAGTAGTTATCCAAATCTCCGATGAAGCACGTGGATGTTGCTAGTTTGTTTGGTCTGTAATAATATTAACTTCATTCGTTAATTTACCATGAAAGCTCTTTTGGATTTATTTTATCTATGAGATGTTGCTCATGAGTGTATATTTCAATATGTATGTGATCCTTTTCGACTAACTTTGGGGGCTGTGATGAACAACAGGTGGTCACTTGGAGCAATCATGTACGAAATGCTTGTGGGTTATCCACCCTTTTATTCGGATGATCCGATGTCAACATGTAGGAAGGTAGAGCTAGACACTGCAAAATTTCTGCTTCAGTTTCATTCAAGTTTTGGCTGTGACTTATATATTTATGATGGAAACCTATCTTCATTTAAGATTTGCTAATCCCACTGCATGGTCAGCAAAGTCTTTATGCAACATTCTTTTGGTTTATGCGTCTGTCTTTTTTTATTTATAAATTATAATGTTAGATAAAAATTATATGTTTCTGTCTCTTTAGCAAATGCAGTCAGGCTCATCTCCATATTTCACTCTTAAAAAATGATCTCCCGGTTTTAATTTGTCACACCATTTCTCCAAAGCTGAATTTTTCATCCAGATTAATAACTACTCTAACCTTTCCTTGGAACTGTTGGTTGCCAAACTGGATCAAAACACAATTTTATTGGTGCTTACTTTAAGGACCTTACTAGTCAAACTGTCTGGTTCTGCCAAAATTTTACACTTCAGGTCTCCTTATGATTACCTGTTGGTTTCCCTGCTCAATTAGATTATCTTCCGTAAATCTTGTAATCAAGACCTCGGCATGACATTCAAAATTAGTTCTCATATAAAGAAACAATTCGTTTGTCCAAACAGAAGGGCATTGGACATGCCAAATATCTGGTTTGGTGTTCTAAGTTGTTACTTTTCTGCTGTCCAGATAGTAAACTGGAAAACCCATTTGAAATTTCCGGAAGAAGCAAAATTATCTCCAGAGGCAAAGGACCTCATCAGCAAACTCTTGTGCAATGTCAACCAGAGATTAGGAACAAATGGTGCAGATGAAATAAAGGTGTTGTATGTTGTGTCCTTTTCTGAATACTACTGCTTGAGATATAGGTGGTTATTTCCAGAAGAATTACCCACCTATCTGTTATGTTTCCAGGAACATCCATTCTTCAACGGAGTTGACTGGAATAATATTTACCACATGGAAGCTGCCTTTACCCCGGAGGTCAATGATGAGCTGGACACACAAAACTTTGAAAAGTTTGAGGAGGTATGTAAAATCTCTGTTCAATGTCAGTATTGTGAATATGTGTGCACCCACAAATGCTATTCCGCTTCTAATATTTCCTGCTGACTTGGGTCTTCAGTCGGAGCACCATCCCCAAACATCGTCGAAAACTGGTCCATGGAGAAAGGTTAGTATTTGTCCTTGCTCCTTTCAGTGTTTACATAAAGAATGATTTTCCACAATATCTCAAGTTATATATTGATCGCAGTTGCATAGTATTCTTCTTTACGAAATTTAATTGCGATGGAGGAAAAATACTCATGTACCCTACCAGTGGGCTTTTACTTTAGTTGCACATAACGTGGTTCATGCAGCCTCAACATTTCCCAGGCAACGGAAGTGTGTAATGCCACTAGAAGGATCATACCCTTAAATCATTTATCTTAATAAGATTTTTATTTGCTGCATCACTCATGCAAGATTTGTATTATTGGAATACTTAGCTAGTTCAATACAAACTCAGTAATTCTGCATGACTCGGGGTAGTATGTTCGCACTTCGACGTATCTGAACTAGTTTCCTTCGCCTACAGCATTCCTGAAGTCCACTTGTATTACCCATTGACAAGAAGCTTGGCCTTTATTTTCCGTATTATGCTTTTGTTTTCTGCTCACAGTTTCATTGGATTTTGCAGATGCTTTCCTCCAAGGACCTAAATTTTGTGGGATACACTTACAAAAACTTCGAAATTGTGAATGATTATCAAGTACCCGGAATGGGTAACAACTTCTCTTTTCTTCTCCTTTCCTTTGCATTGAACACGTATGGGTTATGCATACCTGTGAAAATCAAATCAGATAGATTGCTTTTCATGGATTCCGGGACATCCGTAATTTGTTTCCTCCTCTTTCGAAGGATTATAAGGGCACCTCTTTGGTAGAAACCAACGTCGGACCTAGCCATATAGCATATTAGTAGAATGATTAATTAGTAAGATAATTGTGTTAGTTATTATGGTTTTGTCCTTGGTGCGCTCATTTTTTTGGGTGCATTCAATGCACTCGCTTCATAATCGTCATACTGAGCAGATGATTCATGTTAAAACGATGACAATCATCACTTATGATATGATGGGCAAGAAAGTGCATGAATTAACACAAAAATCATTCAAGATATACTTTGATTTGAAGGATTTAGTGTTTAGGAATTTATGATTAGGGTTTATGCACTCATTTATATGTGTGCACCGAAACAACCACAATATATATATATTGCGTATTTCGTGATTATGAAAGATGAATAGTAATACAATTATCTCTAATCTCCCAAATCCTCGTCTTTTCCCTTCCTAAAGGCCGCCAGACCATTATCTCCTATTGTGGCCGATTTCCTCCTCTAAACCCCTAGTTCCATTATGTTCTTCCCTAAACCTCTAATTCTATCTTCTAATTCCCTATTCCCTAATTCTGTTCTATCCCAAATTCCAAAATGTATCTTCTAAATCCCTAAACCTCCCATTATTATTCTCTAATCTCTATCTCGTTCCGTAGAAACTCAGGTATTTTATGTGATTTGTCACTTGTTAGGGAGTAGCATTTTTTCTTAACTTATTACCATGTCCGGTCATATTCCCTTCCGTTGTACCTGTGTTGGTTAAGAATTATATAGTTAGCATCTTGGACCAATACATCTCTGATCCCCTGCAAGGCAAGCTGTTTTGGACTTTAGTTTATGGCCTTCAATGACAGTAGTCTCTTTCTGTGTCTTGCCGGACTTGTCTGAAATTCTTCGAGGGTAACTAGCCTTCTACTGTTGCAGTTTCTCGTTGTGAAACCTCCCTAATGAATTATCCTGAAACGTACCATGCCCAGGAAATGTCCACATGTAGTTCTCCGACAACCCTGAAAATGACCCTGGCCGCCTGGTTACTTATTCTCTTTCCCCCCCCCCCCCCCCCCCCCCCCCCCCCCCCCCCCCCAATTATTTGTTTTTGGTTTTGCTTTGCAGTTTTACTCAGTCTGTAACTTGGATGCTCATCTGGTCACTACATTACAATATTCTTCGTCACAAATATGTTAATGGGAGCTGACTCTGACTTGTTTGTCGCAGCTGAACTGAAAAAGAAAGATACAAAGCCAAAGAGGCCGTCTGTGAAGTCGCTTTTTGGTAAGGGTAAACGTATGATCCGGATTGGATTTTCCTCACAGATAGCGACTCATGCACATCTATTTTTCAAAACTTGTCTTCTTGTTTTGCTTACAACTGGTGCTTGTAAGTATTAGTTTCGCCTGCCTTCTCGAGGAGGATCAATGGGTGGCGACCAATATTTTGGGGGGAAAAGAGAAGATTTTTTATTTTACAGCAGTCAGCATTGAGATTTAGATGCTCCTAAAAGGTGATTTCATTTTAACTGTACATTTGTTGTGTTTTTTTTCTTTCCCTGTTGCCCAGAAGGAGAGTCAGAAACGTCAGAATCATCAGAAACAACCACGAGCGATCAACCACCGGCTCAGGGGAGCTTTCTGAACATGTTGCCTCCAGAACTGGAAGTTACTCCGAAACAGCATGATGCTGTTTAATCCAGGCTCCCTTCTGCTGACCTTACAGACTGCATTGCCTTATGACTTATAACTCGTTTTTTCGGCACTCCCACTCCCTTCGAGCAATCAACCAATCCGGGTTGGTAGCGAAGACATTAGACATTCATTTGACGCCTCTCCAACCAAGCCTGCTGCGTCTGTTGCTCCAACTTCTGTGAGTTGCCTGTTGGAAAGTCCTTGGTTTCTGGCGGAAGTAGTTGAGCTTGTAAAGTTTATGGACCCTGCCTGGATACGAGGACTATAGCACAAAGTTCCTTCCCAAGAATTGCAGAAGTCTCAGTAGAATACTTGTAACACTAGCTACGATCAACCCTGCTATGCAGAATCACTCTAAATTTAATTTTTCGTTTTCACCCTCCTCGTTAGCTTGACTTCTTGTGTAGAAAAGAATAAAATAAAGGGTTATCTCTTTCATTGCCAGTTAATTTGTCAAGATGTAAATGAATAATCTGTTGCTTCTTTCTGGTATAGTCAGTCGTTTGAATGTTTCAATCTTGCGAAGTCAAAAAGGGACACCATTTTCCTTTGCTTCTTCCTTGTTTCGTTACCCTTTTTCCAAGTGCCAGATTTTGGGCTCCTTTACTTCATGGATATGGAATTTGGTGGTGAATGTAAGTTTCAAATTCAATCCACTTTGAACTTGTCTGAAAGTTTTGTTAGTTATAATTTTAGGAGAGTAAAATTTGTGGGTTTCACGAAGTTCAAATCTGCGGAAACCATGGACTTGCAAATTCCATGATTAGAAGTGGGGAACGGCTACGGTGCTAATTGTACAATAGTTAGCACCGTCATAACCAAGGGAAAAACTACTACTAGTTTGAATTAGTAGTGATTTCGTTATTTTTAGTAGCGTTTTTTGCTAGTTATCACGGTGCTAACCCTTATAAGGGTTAGCACCTAATGCTATCCCAAGGAACACATGAGGGTCAACAATGCAAAATTTTAGTATTTTAACTAAGAAAGGAGTTACAAAATTATTAACGATAACGTAAAAATGACTAATCTTTTGATGCAGTACGAAAGATTTGGTTAATTGATAGCATTTTAATAGGTTTGGATAATAAAAAAGAATTTGAAAAAGGTTTGGATGAAAAATAGATATTAACCTATCATATATAATTAAGTAAAATCCGTAACAAAATCCAATAAACAAACAATAGATACTTTAAAGTCCATAATAGTAGATCACCCATGTTGCACTTAAAGGGAAAATTCTACAGGAGCTGTCGTGCAAGCCACCTGAAGAAGGCTAGATGAAGATCAACACCGACGGATATATATGTGGTTGCAGGCAGGGGGAACTAAGGCTGCTGCTGGAGGTCTCATGATGGATTAGCTTGGGAGATGTCATGGCGTTTTCTCCTCTAACCTTGAAAACTGCTCCATCACAAGAGTAGAGCATTGGACTCGACATGGCTTGGCAGAGAGGCTACCAAAAAGTCTGTCTTTGTCTTGACTCTACCACTGCCATCAACATTATCGAGAACAAGAAGGGTTTTGACCATGGACATGCATGGGTTGATGATCGCCTTGGAGATCAATCGACTGCTTAGTCAGCTAGGATTGGTCAGTTAAGATCAAACACACCTATAGGGCATGTAATAGAGCTGCAGAAGTTTTGACCAACAAATGACATAGTCTGTCCTTTGGCACTCCCTTGCTTGATGTTGGGGAACCAGGGTTAAGGCACTGGATCCATTTTTGATGTAATGGGTATCTCCCAAGAATGTTATGTTGTTAATACGAGTTAAGACATCCAAGGTGTTTGTTTTCTTAAAAAAAAAATCTATGATGGCAACAAATATATCATAAATTTGGGGTTTTTCCAAAACCCAAAATTTATCAAAATTCTCATTTTTCAAATCCATGAAGCAAACAAGCTTTTTATATGCTCCAGGATATATATTTCGAAAGGGGGCAATTGAAGGAGAGGAACAGGGGAAGCCAACAGTTCAATTTGCAGTGCGAAGCCAAGCCATAGATGTGACTAGAGATTGCAATTTATAATCCAATCCATTAATTCATCCACTTAAATATCGAACTAATCCAATCCATTTGATAATCCATTAATTCATCAACTTAAATATCGAACTAATCCAATCCATTTGATCCAAATCCTATTGGACTGTTGGGTTTATGGATCGTTGGCAAATTAGAGTTTAGTACCTATGTTGTTTATATTTTACAATTTGTTACCTAAAATTTATTTTTTATACAAAAAATGTCATTGAAAAATCACATTTTGGTACCTAAAGTTTTTTATTATGGCGTTTTAGCTCTTAAACTTTTCAAAATTTACATATTAATCCAAGAATTGGATGTCATTCGGATCCACGTATCAATCCACCGATCCATATAATCCAATACATGAAAATTCACCAATCCATTTGATCTGTAAATTTACTAATCCAATCCACCAATCCATTATTCAATCCATTTGCCACTTTTTGATGTGACATGTGAGCTCATTATGCAAACATGAAACAAAAGAAAAAGGTATTAATTATGATGTGGAGTTTAATTTGCATTTTGCAATGGTAATGAAATGAGTGGGGCTTGCGGAGGTTAGGTTAGGTATGCTATAAGACCGCCATTTGTCCTCATAATGTTCCCAGGCGACCTTCATTGTCGTCCAAATCACTCCCAAACAAAACGAAGAATATCATTTACCACTAACGTCCTCTTTAGTTGGGGGGTTTAGTTTTGTTTAAATCAAAGCAGCTAATGCATGTTTCACAATCCGTTCGTCCCTCTCGTACATTGACGTCTTTGACCAGTCGTTGCAGGGGCCACGTAAGATATTGATATGATTATTGTTAGGGTTGTCAATTAAGTACCAGTGACGACCTTAGGCTTGAATGACCACAATGGAGATTTGACATGGCCGTTTAGTATTGTTTTGTTGCGCTTGGGATTGCAATAGAGTTGCGTTAATAAAAGTATAACCACAACAAAATAAAAACAAAAACATGTTTAGTCGATAATTTTATGGGAGCCCAACTCGAACCTAACTGGTTCGGACCAAAAATTCAGTTCCTCAACAATAGTAAACATATCCCTCGAAATTTGATTCGGTCTGTTATGAACCGAATCACCAAATGACCAAAACAAATTTCTAATAGCCCATACCAACCCATAACACAAGCCCCAAGTTAGCTAAGCCCACCTCAGGACCGGATATGGTACTAATAAGTAACATCGTATGTATTAGCACCAAGCTAACAATAATCATTAAGGATATTTTGGTAATTACTGCCACGAAACTCTGTGGGGAGATGGCTCAGAAAAATCCAGATTCGAATCACCTTCGTCGTATACGCTCTAGCAGATCCTCCGATAGTACAACCGGGTCGGCCGACTATTGGTGTCCCAGCCCAGGGTTTGCTCTGCCTGCGGTGTCAAAAATCGACAACCACGAGAGAATTTCCACATTATATGAGAAAAACTCCCACCACATATTCCTTCATTATTCACATTCTGTTTACCCATAAAAATTAACCTTGTACCACATCGGTTAAAAACAGGAATTAAATGGCTTTATAAGGCCAACTTAATCATATCAGTTTAAATCAGTTGAGTGGACCATGAGGATTGGGCTTTTGGGCCCATTACTCCGTGCCACCACGCGCTCCATGCATATCCAAATTTGACTAAGTATGGGAGCCACCCCCTTGCCACATCCTGGGGGTGGGATCCCCAGGACGTGGCAAGGACCCCCAGGACGTGGCAAGGAGGGTGGACATCATACCACCACCCCCATGACATTGTAAGGAGGGATGATGGCCGAATTTGGCTAAGGCAAGGAGTATGGTAGCCACCCCCAGGAGGTACCAAGGGGGTGGCCACCATCATACCACCCCCAGGACGTGGTAAGGGGGGTAGGCATCATGCTGCCCAAGGCACGCCCATAACATGGTGAGGGGGGTGATGACAGAATTTGGCTAAGGCAAAGAGAAGAATAACCACCCCCATGAGGTACCAAGGGGGTGGCCACCATCATACCACCCCCAGGACGTGGTAAGGCCAAGGGGGTCACCAGCCTACGCCCCCATGGTATGGCCAAGGGGCGTGGTCAACATCGCCCCCATGAGGTTGCCAGGGGGGCTACCAAGACATCACCCTCGTGATCTGGTCAAGGGGGGTCAGGTGGGCACGTGGTCTCCCTACTCCTGTAATGGTGAAGTATTTTTGCCATTTTTTACTCAAGTGATTCTGTCATTTTTGACTCAAGTGATTCGGGTACCCACCCATATGTGGCATGTGGTCTGCTTTCATGCCTTAGCCATTTTTTCTCTATAGGCAAGCAAAGCTACGGAGGGGATAGCAAGAGCATGGAGTGAAGTCTCAAGAGGAGAGGCCAAAATTGGTCTACATCCAACGTTAAGGTAACCGTCGAAGCAGTTGAGAGGGTAACCGCCACTCCACGTCACCAGAGCAGTTTCTTAGGGCAGTTACTTCTGGTGGCTATAAATAGGAGGTGAAGATGACAGAGAAGGGGTTCGGCAAAATCACACCAGACAACACAATGTCAAATTTTATCCTTTTATCTTTACATTTTCCTCTACAAATGTAGTCATAGCCATAGTTGTAGTTTCGGAGCTCTCACTGAACCTCCATAGGAGTAGAGTTAATGTAATTTAGTTTGCCTCGTAAATCATCAAGAACATCGAACACCCTTGTTTGAACTTTGTTCAAAGAGGTGTGGACCGTGTTTGTTAATCGTTTGTTTGGAAATCAAAGATGCAAATCCAATTCTGTTCATCTTTATTTTTCTCGCCGGGAAAACACATTCCCCCTCATTATTCATATTTCCATCTTCTCTCCCTTCTCTTATATTCTTCTTCATTACTTGAATTGCAGAATAGAAGGGGATCGGAAAAAACCACTTAAATCTCCTTTCTCTATCTCTATCTTGCAGTTTCAGTTTCTAAACCAAAGACACTCGTCATTCTCATGGTTCAATCAATGACGATTTCCACCAAAGCTAGCCAATTACTCATATTTGTCTAGTTACAAAAAATTATGACTTAACTAGCCATTAATGAATAATAAGTGCCCCATCTATAAACGAGCCAAACCATGCCAATCCAGATGAGCATTCTTACCTTCTACTCTCACATACCTAAACCTTATTTCCTTACTGACTTGAGTATTACTGGGCATATCCTCAAACCACCTTCGGATTTTGTGCTATTTCACAGGAAGCCAACACTCTACTCAAGGATGATCACTCAGAATTCTCTCTTCTAATTGATGCATTTAATTAATTCGTGTTTTGTAATTTGATTCATTGATTAGATATATTAATTTGAAAATATCTTATCTAGAGGTCTAAATTGTGTTTTTGTTATAAGAAAAGGTTGGGTAGACAATTTTTTTTTTTAAAGAATAAACTTTTATTCCAATCTGAGTCAAAGGAAGCCAACAGATTACAGAAGTGTTGAGAGCAAATAAAAAACAACAACCCAATCCAATGGCAACGTATTGACACGAGCATTCCGAGCCGCCCAATCAACCAAATCATTAAATCGCAGCAAAATAACATCCATCTTGATACAAGGGGCTTCGTGGAGGATTGAAATGGTACATTTCAAAGTCACCCGACAATGCCACGGCCAAATATCAGGGGCTTCTTCAAAGCACTTGTCAGAACCTGACATTCTGACAAACCATGAGTATGAGAGATCTCCTGAGCCACAAGATGAACTGCGTTGAGAATTGCAAAAACCTCCGCTTGAATCGGATAGAAACAAAAGAAAGTTTCAGTCTTTCCGTTTAATATATACCTGGCCATGAAAATCAACAATAGTAATCTTATACGTCGCCACCTGCGATTCCGACACGAAAAAGTCATCACAGCGAACAACATTTTTGAAAGGAGGGTGGTTGTAGTGAGGGGTAAGATCGAGATCCCCTAAGCTGAGATGGCATGAGACGGTGAAGAGCTTGTTCTAGCTTCCTCAAAGCATTGGAAATCACGATCAGTCTTGATTGCCACAATGGTCGGGGAAGGGACAGTAGCCTCAAACACAAAGCCATTTCGAGTTAACCAGATATTCCACAGACAACATGCAATCTTTCGAATTCTCTCGATGGGAAAAGATCCATTGAGGCTGAAAACCCAATCGGACCCTTTGATAGAGATTGATAATCACTCATTTTGAGTGATTGTAGATGGACTCCTAAAAACAATAACACATGTATTCTATCTCAAATTTAACACAACCCAGCTTAATCTTAAATACATTCACGAGCTAATTTTTTTACATAATTGATTCGTAGTATTCAAGGAAGATTTTTTATAAATTTACTCTCACATGTAGGTAGACCAACCTTTTGTCCATAGTAACGCTTAACGTGATTTATTTCATGGTACGCCCATAACGTGATTAACCAAACCAACGAAGATTAATAACATAAAAGTAGCTAATGCTGATCCAAGGTTTCACATGTGGGATGTAAATTACGGGTAGATCGATCATTATCAAACTTGGGAAAGGAAAAGGACATGCATCCCAATAAATATCATTTAGAACTACTTGAACCTTTTTTTTTCCCTTTATGTATGTCCTTTTCTTTAGAATAGAGCACTACGGCTACATCCTATTCAATTACAGATACAAACTATATATATATATTAAACGATTAATTATCAATTAACAATCTAACATGACCAAGTAATCACTATCCAAATATCCATTGTTAATCCATCAGTTGTCGCCAGTGTGCTATTTAACGAAAAACAACTTCAGTATACGAAATACACGCTCGTAGATATGGAAAGTAGTTTAATTATCCAATAACATGGCTAAGTAATTTATTTAACTAGTCATTACATCTACAATCTACACAGTAGTTTAATTTTTTTTTATCGTAGTGATATATTGGTGGCCGGGGGTAGTTGGGCGAACTTCAACAGAAGAAAGAACAGCTCTGGAGTGATGAATTGTGACGGCTCCTTTGTCTCATATTCTTCTATAATTTTAGCATAAATGTAATTTTAGCATAATTATGCACATATTCACACAATGATACTAATTATTAACGCATGCTCACTTATGTTCATGCACATAATCAGTATATATATTGATTGATTGATGAGATTAATGAAACGGTGTGAAAATAAATCATGTGAATAAAGTAAATCTACTTGAATAATTAGTAGTGCTGCGTAGAATAGAAATGTAGTTTTTTTTACCTGAATGGTATAGGATGTCCCACACCGTAAACTTTTTATTAATTCCCTAAAATAATACACGGTTTGATTAACTTATATACGTGAATGTGAAACAACAAAGCTTTCTGCAATCTCGAAAGTTTTATTTGGTGCTCTGATTTTCTTGGAACAGGGAAAAGCGAACTCGTTACTGCGCTAGGGTTTTCTGCGATGGCTCCGGCGGCGCTGCCGCCCCAGACAGCTCCGGCGACACCAAAACCCCCGAAAACAATGGCAGGATCCCGACGCCCCCCAATCACTACCTCCTCGCCTAATGGGAAGGGAGAGAAAGAAACCCAGCAGCAAAAAAAACGAAGTAGGGGTATGGAGGATGGCTCACGTGTGGGCATGGATGAACCCATGCAAGAAACGAGAGACCTAAAGGGGGCCTGGAAACAAACCTCCCGGAAACTCTTTGACGAACAAGAGGAAGTGGAAGGATGGTACGTAGAGGATTCCGACTCAGAAGATGTTGCTAACGTGGATAAGGAAGAGGATGATTATGTCCCAAAAGAAGAAATAGATCTGAAGTGTCCACCGATATTTTTTACTGCAGCGGAGAAGAACAGTTGGCGTCGGGAGTGGCGCTCCGCATTGATTGTGAAGGGGTTGGAGAAGGATGTCCCTTTCACACCCCTCTCGCTTCGACTGAATTCTTTATGGGCACGACACGGCTTATTGCAGATTGCAGACATGAAGAATGGTTGCTTCCTCGTCCGGTTTAAGCACAAACTGCATTATGAATATGCTACATCGTCCGGCCATGGCTGCTAGGAGATACTTACCTGACGGTGCAACAATGGTATAAGGGCTTTAATCCTTGGAAGTCTGAAGTGAATTCTACTATGATATGGGTTCAGCTGCCGGAACTACCGGTGGAGTTCTATAATGAGGTAGTAGTTCTACGGATAGCTGAAAAGATTGGTAAACTAGTTAGAGTGGACCAAGCAACACTTTCGGGGGCCAGAACAAAGTATGGTCGGGTTTGTGTTGAGGTGGACTTATTAAAGCCGCTCCTTGGTTCGTACAAGATTGAAGGAGTCACTTATTACATTGGCTATGAGGGGATATCCAACCTGTGCATTGACTGTGGAAGCTATGGTGCAACCAGTCAGAATTGTCATTGCAAATTCCCGGTGCCAGAAACACAAGAAGAGCCGGAGGGGGTAGGTTCTAAGGATGACAAGATGGTTGAGAAAGAGCAGGTGAAAACTCATGGAGAGTGGATGATGGTTACCCGACGTGCAAATCGATCCCAACGCCGTCACCAGATTTCATCTAATGGCCCAAAACGGGATGCTGGAGTAAACCGATATGCCCCCCTGGCTGGAGAGGAGTTGTTGAAGGAGGGGAAAAGTGATCCCCCCATACAGACGCAAAAACAAGCTGTGGAACATAAGAAGATGGAGAGAATGGCCCAGCACCAGAAAGCGAGTAAAGGAAAAACAATAGAAGAAAAGCTTCACAAAGAATCAGGTCCACAACATAATAAACAAGGGCTAGCTCATTTGGTTGCAAGAATGGACAGGGAGAGTTCTCAAGGTACTCCCCAGGTGGGTAAAGGGATGAGAGATACATCCTTGGGGAATGCTAACCCAAAACACAACCAGCCTCATGGGAAAATAAATAGGGGAGGGGGCACTCACACGAAGCCGCCCTCGAAGTCACAGGTGGCAGTAACGACAAATGCTGATGGTGCGAGAAACCTATCCCCTTCGGGTCATTAATGCGCATTCTCTGCTACAATTGTCGGGGCTTGGGGAATGCACCGGCAAAGAGATCTTTGAAGTCGTTGATTCGACTTGCTTCCCCCACATTTAGTATTTTTTATGGAAACCAAACAGACGACTGCGGAGAATGAAACAATGGGAAGAGAGCTGGGTTTTTCAGGAGGGGACAATGGGCCAACTTTTCAAGGTAGAGGTGGTCGAGTTGGTGGTCTTAGCTTGTGGTGGACTAAAGACGTACACCTAACGGTAATGTCTACTTCTAGTAATCACATTGATGCTCGTATTGACGATGAGACAAATGGAGTTTGGAGGTTCTCTGGTATTTATGGCTGGCCGGAGAATGGTGAAAAGTATAATACGTGGGAGTTAATTCGTCGACTGAGCCAACAATGGGATGGCAAGTGGCTGTGTGGGGGTGATTTCAACCAAATATTGAACCCTCTAGAGAAAAGTGGAGGCTCGGTTGAGTATGATATGGAGATGACAGGTTTTGAGGAATGCATTGCAGATACAGGTCTGGTGGATATTGGGTTCGAGGGGTACAATTTTACGTGGCAAAATAATCGACAGGCAGGCTCCTTCATCGAAGAACGTCTGGACAGGTTCTTAGCCTCGGAAAGATGGACTCACCAATTCTCTACCACTATTGTTAAGCACCTGGACAAAAGGAGGTCGGATCATAGGCCTATATTATGCAATACTTTAGGTAAAGAAGACGAAGAGCCACGATGGGGATGGTATTTTAAGTTCAAACCGATGTGGACTAAACATGCGGATTGTGAAGAAATTGTTAAGGAATCCTGGAGCAGCCCGGCTGCGCCAGACATGATGGGCAGGATTGATGCGTGTAGAAGGAAACTTGAAGATTGGAGCACGCTGGAGTTCCCAAACTTCTCGAGGCAGATGAAAAAATTGGAGAAAGCTGCCCGAGCGCTGGAAAGAATGCCCAAAACTGCAGCGGTTCTAGAGCAGATGCGAGAGTTGGCAAGTGAATTAGATACTTTGGAAGAGAATGAGGAAGATTATTGGAAGCAACGGTCAAAGGCAGATTGGTTGTAGGGTGGGGACAAAAACACCAATTTTTTCCACCGTAAAGCCTCAGCCAGGAGAAAGAGGAACGTAATCCGAAGATTGAAGAATGATTCTGGGGCGTGGGTGACGGGGCAGGAGCATCTTTTCGACATGCTTACTACCTATTTTGCTGGGATTTTTACAGCTGGCCCAATCCCACAGTCTACACCAGTTCTAGACTCTATTTCGACGGCTATTTCAGCCGAGGATAATGAGGCCCTTACCCAGCATGTATCAAGAAAGGAGGTGTTCTGGGGCTCTGAAGCAAATGGGGAAGCGAAAAGCGCCTGGTGCTGATGGTATGACGGTACTGTTTTTCATAAGGTACTGGCATTTTTTTGGGGAGGACGTCTTCTGTTTAGTCTGTGATATCATTGAAGGGGGTGATATGCCGCAACAGGTAAATCATACTCTTATCACGCTTATCCCGAAAGTAAAGAGTCCAATGTCACCAAAGGATTTCAGACCCATAAGCTTATGCAATGTCTTGTATAAGATTGTCTCGAAGGTTCTGGCAAACCGCATGAAGAATATTCTTGATAAGGTGATTTCCCCAATGCAAAGTGCCTTTGTACCTGGCCGGTCCATCACAGATAATATTATGTTAGCGTTTGAATGTTCCATTCAATGAAGCATAGAAAGAAGGGTCAAGTTGGCTACCTAGCAGCGAAGATTGATATGGCTAAGGCCTATGACCAGGTCGAGTGGCATTTTTTGGAAGGGGTTATGCGCAGGATGAGTTTTGCCGATGCTTGGGTAAACGTCATCATGAAGTGTGTATGGACGTTGACTTACTCAGTATTAGTTAATGGTCATCAAACTGAGGTAATAACCCCAACCAGGGGTCTCTGCCAAGGAGATCCGTTGTCACTGTATCTTTTCCTTCTCTGTGCAGAAGGATTGTCAGCCTATATGGAACTAGCAGTCAGGGAAAAGAAAATTCATGGGATTCAGCCAGCTCAGGGGGGGGCCCTACTATCTCCCATCTGTTTTTTGCGGATGACAGTATCTTCTTTTCCCGGGCAAACAACCAAGAAAGTATGAAGTTGAAGAGCATCCTGAAAGACTATGAGAAGGAATCGGTCCAGTTAGTAAATTTTCAGAAATCTGCAGTCTCTTTTAACCAAAATACTAAGCCGCATGCGAAGCTAGAGAACAGCGGGATTCTAGAGATGACCCTTATTGAAAAATATGAGAAGTACCTTGGGCTGGCGACTATGGCAGGGCGGTCAAAGAATGAATTGTTTACGGGTATACTGGATAGGATCAGGAAGAAGCTGAAAGTCTGGAAAGAAAAGACTTTGTCTGCTGCAGCTAGGGAGGTGCTAATCAAGTCGGTAGCTCAGGCCCAACTCACTTATGTCATGTCAGTGTTTAAAGTTCCGGATGGAGTCATCGACGAGGCCCACAACCTTATTACCAATTTTTGGTGGGGGCATCGAGGAACTGAAAGACGGGCTCATTGGGTGGGAGAGAGGAGCTAACGATCCCTAAGGAAGAGGGCGGACTGGGCTTCCGGGACCTCAGGGGCTTCAACGAAGCGCTCCTTGCAAAATAGTTGTAGAATTTAATACGTCGCCGATTCTCTTATTGCAAGGGTTCTTAAGGATAAGTATCATAAGCGAACATCTATCATGGATGCTACTGTGGGTTATAACCCAATTTTCGTGTGGAGAAGTTTGTTGTCTGCTCAAGGGCTCTTATGTAGCGGGCTTCGCTGGCGAGTGGGCAACGGCAGATCAATCAGGATATGGGGTGACAAATGGGTTCCCTCTACCCCAAGTTGCTTCATTACCTCACCTCCAGTAGGCTTACCCATTGACGCCTTGGTGAATGAGCTTATTGATGAAGAAACCGGGTCTTGGGATCCTAATATATTGGCATGTTGTTTTAGTGGGGAAATGGAAGCAGCTATCCACCAAATCCCTCTGCGTGGCTTTGGGGAGGGTGATACATTAATTTGGCTTGGCAACAATACAGGTACCTACACATTGAAGGATGGATATGCGTGGTGGTACAAACAACATATGGTGAGCTTGGGACTAGCCCTGATTGGTGAAGCAAAAGTTTGGAAAAGGCTTTGGGGCTTACAAGTCCAACCAAAAGTCAAGCATTTTTTTTTAGATTTGCGCGAGAAGCGTTGCCGATGGGTGATCACATTAGCACCAAGAGTACGAAATGGGGTGATAAGTGCCCATATTGCGGTTTACGGGAGACACGGGTTCATCGCTTTTGTGAGTGTGCTTGGAGTTCCAGGATTTGGGGAGGCTCGCAGGTTAGATGTTGTTTTCATTTGCGTCCTCAAGGGGATTGTTATGAGTGGTTAGCAACGGTTATGGACAAGGTTGATGAATCCATGTTGGAGGAGTGGGTTGTTCTACTATGGTTTCTATGGAAGGAGCGTAATGCTCATATGTTCAATGGAGTCAAGCTTGAGGAGAGTGAAATAGCATCAAGGGCTCACTTCCTACTAGAAGATTACAAGAAGCATCAGGAACCAGAGGAGATGCCACTGGCGCAGCTAGCCCAAACGAGATGGAGAAGACCTCCACTAGGCCATCACTCGATCGCAACTGACGCTGCAGTGTTCCCCGAGGGCGGAGCGGGACTGGGGGTGATTGTGCGAGACAGTGATGGTAGCTTCATCCTAGCGGCGGCCAAGCGCATTCGCGGGCGTTTGGGAACCTGAGGAGGCGGAGGCTCTCGCTGCAGAAATGGGGCTGCAATTGGCGACTACAATGCAGATCTCATACCCAATTCTTGAGAGTGACTGTCTCTCCTTGGTATAAAAATTGAATAGCCAGCGTTGCATTGAAACGGAAATTGGAGTCGTGATCAGGAATATCAAGCGGATTATGATGGAAATCGAGAATGGCAGCTTCAAGCATATTAAGAGAGAAGCGAATGGGGCAGCTCACATGATGGCGCATGCTATGACGCATTGGGAGGAACGTGTTGTTTGGGTAGATACACCGCCAGTATACGGAAGAATTCCCAGAATACAGCCAAAATTATACATAATTCCCTGAATACATAAGTTTTATAAAATTTTCCCAAACTACCCAAGTTTCAAGGGGTTCGAGTTTATGGGACTCGAACTACACACAAGATCGACGATAAGAAACTCGAACCAAAAGTGGATCGACTTTTAAACACTCGATCAATAGTGGTTCGACTTTAGAAGACTCGAACAACCATGATCGATTACAGGAGACTCGATCTCAGTAGATCGAGTATAAAACACTCGATCAAGTAAGATCGACTTCAAAATCTTCGATGTAGAGCAACGATTTTAACTCACTCGATCTTTGTCTGGACTAGATCGAGGCCATAAGACTCGAACTACTGGCCCACCGACATGCTCCAGGATAGGGTTACAGGGATAAGATTTTTATTGTAGCAGATCGAGTTTTAGAAACTCGAACTAGTGTAGTTCGATTACACTAAACTCGAACTACTTGCTCAATCATTCTGTCCAGTCGCTTTCTATCCGACATGCCACAGAATAGGGCGCAGGGGGGGAAATTATTGGTCGACGTAGATCGAGTTTAATGAACTCGAACTAGTGTAGTTCGAGTGTACTGGACTCGACCCACTCCATCAGTTTACGATAAATAAAAGCCATCACTGAGCACTTTCTGGCAGCACTCTTCCTTTCTATCTTCTTTCTTCCAAACACAAACTGCAGCTGCTGGAGCACCATAACTGAGCAAAGAAGAAAAAATTTGGAGGTAAGTTCTGCTTACTTTGTTTGAATTAGCATATTAGAATTTTAGATTAATTTAGTATTGTTTGTATTGTATGTAATGAGCTGCTTGTATAAACTGCAGAAATGGGTAGAAAATTTCGAAAATTCGACTTAAAGATTCGGTGGAATGGTCGAATTACACACTTTCATGATAGTATTGACTACGAAGATGGTGAATCAAGTATTGTCCGGATTGAGAGCATATTTACTTGGCAAGAACTCAGTCATATTTGTGCTGAACGATGTTGCATAGCAGGGCGAAGAGTATGCAAGATGACTTACCGTATGCCGGTTTACAAGGATTATGCACTTGTATATGAAGGATCAGTTTTGTCTGACGATGATGACATTAATATGATGGTGAGATTTATTGCAGAGAACAGATTTCCAAGTGCTGAGGTGTATGTCGAAACAGAAGTTTTTGGCCAATATGGTGGCGGCGGTTATACCGAACACGGTGAAGGATCTGGAGGGTTTTCCGGTTCAGGAGATTTCAGAGTGCGGCATGATGCACCATGGCCAACATACGAGGATCGAACTGCAACTGGTCCATTGGTGGAACATGACGGACAGGAGTGGCCAGTATGGGGTGAAGAATGGGATTACATAAGGGCGCCCAGACAAGCATCTACACCAGCATCTGGCATCAACAATGATCCATATGTGGATAAACCAAGTCCTCCGTACACTAGCGAGGCAAGCGACATGGAAGATGAAGAGTTAGAATCTATGAGTAGTTCAGATGGTGAAGATCTGGAAGTTGATGAGGGGGAATTTGAGCCCCCCACACCTCACTACACGATGGTGCCACAACATCCTCTCTATGCTCACAACGACGATCCTGACCTCCCTCCTATACCAATATGGACTCCTGACTCTAGATTCGTGGTTGGCCAAACATTTGGAGGAAAGCCTCAGGTGGTCGATGCATTGAAAGAAACTGCTATGCGAAGAAGCTTTCAATATCATGTCATCACTTCTGACACTAAACAAATTCATGTTCGTTGCGAGAACCATGGCGACGGATGCATGTGGCATGTTCGGGCGGCATATGTTAAAAGAAATGGGGCTTGGCTCATTCGTAAGACAGACAACAACCACACTTGTAGGTCGTCACTGATTTCTCTAGATCACCGACAATTGAGTGCAAGGAAGGTTGCACAAACAATCAAACATCTGATTGAGGCACAACCTGGGATCACCGTGAAGAGTGTCATCGCTGAAGTGAAGAATCGACATGGCTATACCATCAGTTACAAGAAAGCATGGCATGGGAAGCAAAAAGCTATGGCAGAGGTGTATGGTGATTGGGAAGAGTCATTTGCTAACATGCCTCGTTTGATTCTTGCAATGGAGGACAAGAATCCTGGGTCTGTTTTTGTGTCTAGTTACGAAGATTTCTATGGGGGTGCTAAACGCGTGTTTAAGCGAGTATTTTGGGCATTCAAACCATGCATTGATGGTTTCACCCATTGTCTGCCAATAATCCAAGTTGATGGGACCTTTCTGACCGGCAAATACAAGGGCACTCTACTCGTTGCCACTAGTGTTGATGGCAGTATGCAACTTTTCCCCCTTGCTTTTGCTATAGTCGAATCGGAGAACAACTTAAGTTGGGCATGGTTTTTTTCCCAACTATACACTCGTGTCACTCAACGGAAGGACATTGCCATACTTTCTGATCGACACCATGGAATTGCACATGCTTTCTACGACCTGCCCGAGGAGCTAGGGTGGAAGTGGCGCTGGTGCATACGACATTTCAAAAGCAATTACGGGAAGCACTTTGGTAGAACTTATGGACAACGTGCAGTTTGGCACGCTGGTAAGAACAAATAAGATGTTGTGATTATATCAATTGGTTGAATGCGTATACTCCTTTACTAACCTTATTTTGCTTTATTGTAGCTATTGCTTTTCAGACTAGAAAGTTTGTAGACAAAATGAAGAGCATAAGGGAGGTCCACTCTGAAGGTTCAGATTGGCTAGAAACTCATCCTTATGAGAGGTGGACGTTACATCAAGACGAAGGGTATAGGTATGGAATAACAACAACGAATATGGGTGAGTGCCTTAATGGTTTGTATGTTGGTCTTCGTGCAATGCCTATCTCATCTATAGTCTTGCATACCTTCTTTCGTACGGTGACATGGTTCGTTGAACGCTACCAAGCAGCATATCAGATGTTGAATGCTGGAATCTACATCCCAAAGAAGATTACGGATGATATGAAACCATGGTCAGAAAGGGCAAAATGGCATAAGGTGACTTTATTTAGTCGAAGAGATTCCCGTTTCGCAGTAGTAACAGGAAGTGGACCAGATAGTTCAAAGGGTGGTAATGCTCAAACAGTTATACTGGATGCAAAGAATGGAATTGGAGAGTGTACTTGTGGGAAGTTTCAAGGGAGACACCTGCCTTGCTCTCATGCATATGCAGCTGCGAGAAGCGTTAATTTGGACCCGTTGATATTTGTTAGTCCATACTACAAGACTCCATACGTGGTCAGAGTTTGGGAAGGGTCGTTCTTTCCCTTGGCTCATGAAGCATATTGGCCCCAGTATGATGGACCTGTAGTGTACCCTCCCGAGCACTTGAAGCGTACCAAAGGTCGACTTAGAGTTAACCGAATTGCAAATGAAATGGATAGATCAAGGACACAGCGACGCCGCCCGAAGAAGTGCTCTGCATGTCGAGTTGAAGGGCATGATAGGCGCCAGTGTCCAGGGCCATCGACTGATAATTGAAACTTTATGTTGTAATTTGAATTTTATGGTGTGATTTAAGAACTTTGTGTTGTGATTTGAATTTTATGTTGTGAAATAGAACAACTTAACAATTTGAGAAATAGAACAAATTAACAACGTCATTTGAAATAGAACACCTTAACAACTCTAAAGAATTAGAACAACTAAACAACTCTGAAGAAATAGAACAACGGAACAACGTCATTAGAAATAGAACCACTTAACAACTCTAAAGAAATAGAATAACTTAACAACTCTAAAGAACACCTCACTCTTGTGCTCCACGTCCGCGTCCCTCCCTTCGACGTCTATTCCTTGAACGAACTCCATATCCAATTCCAGTATTTCGTGGCAATGGAGGTGGGGTTGCAGTGGTTGGAGGACCATAATAAACATTTGGAATCGGAGTCTGGAAGCTTTGATGCGGGGTTTGAAATTGATGACCATACGGTGAATAGTAGGCTCCTCATCCCCCTCCTTGAGCAGAACCTGATGATCCCTCTCCAAATTCCCTTCTGGCGGGAGGGAATCCATACTCATATGGGTCAGGAAGTGCCACATCTTCTCGTACATGTACAGGGACTGTAACGGGCTCTTGCCGACGCTTACTCCTCCTTGGTGGTGATGGCGTGAGAGATTCAACTTCAATGGCGTGGGAGGAAGGACGTGGCGGTGCAGGAGCAGGAGGATATGCAATGACATCCCTTCGGATTTCCCGCGAACATGACAAGAGATTCTTGAAGAGCTTCTTCAAGAATGAAATTTTCTCCCCTGGCACATTATCTTCTGGTTCATTCTCCAACGTCATTGATGCAAGTTCCAACCCATCAACCTAAATAATAAACATGTTAGTCAAACACTATTTGTGTAGCTAAAGGTGATTATAGTAAATAGATATTGTGCTTACCAATGAACCGATCACGGCGCCACGTTTGGTTACCCATCTTTTTGTGAACTTGCGGTAACACAACATATAAATTAAAATCGGGCCAAATAATTTCAACAAATAAAATAGGATTCATAATCATAAAAATAAATAATGGGCTAAGACAAATAATTTCAACAAATAAAATAGGATTCATAATCATAAAAATAAATAATGGGCTAAGACAAATAATTTCAAAAAATAAAATAGGATTCATAATCATAAAAATAAATAATGGGCTAAGACAAATAATTTCAACAAATAAAATAGGATTCATAATCATAAAAATAAATAATGGGCTAAGACAAATAATTTCAACAAATAAAATAGAATTCGTAATCATAAAAATAAATCATAGGCTAAGACAAATAAATTAAAAATAAATAATCATAAGTTAGAATGTTACCTCGTTGAATTCTATACGGTCAAGATGTTGGCGGTACCCATCTAGAGAGGAGAAACTCGTGATAGCTCCAATCCATCTAGCACCATAAGCCCATTGTCGTAGTGGCTCATCGGGACCCCAACTGTTGGCAGGGCAGATCGGAGCGAAAGTAGGAAGGTGCTCCCAAACCCATAGTTGGAGGATGAACATGGGACCACCTGCTTGCTTTGTTTTCGGATCCGTACACTTGCACAACTCCGAATATATCCTCGCCAAACAAGCAGATCCCCAACTTTTTCTCCCAATCTCATCCCAATCTTCCAAAAGAACTCGAAGCCACATACAATGCATATTTCCACCAGACTTGTTCGGAAACAAAAATCCTCCAACCAAACAAATAAGGTAGATGCGAGCATACCTCTCTATCTGAGCATCCGTGGCATCCTCCGGTAATTCCCCAGCGGTCCTCACTAGCCAAGGTATCAATAGCATAGACTTGTGTAGAGGTGGTACACGACGACCTTCTTCTGCTTCCTCTGGGATGATGATACCTAAACGCTCGCTTATATATTGGCCCCAACCATTCAATGGTTTTGAAGAACTTTCTATTATTGCATCACCATCGATTGGAAGCTCTGTCAGCATGGCTACGTCCTTCAACGTAATCGTCATCTCTCCCTCTAGAAGGTGGAATGTGTGCGTTTCTTTTCTCCATCTTTCCACCATTGCCGTAAGAAGGTTGTTGTCCATCTCCATCCCCACAAACTTTCGCACCCTCAGCAATCGCGCTCTTTCAATGAAGGGCTCGATACGATCATCCCATTTAGGCAAGCGAGATAGCGACCGATGGGTGATTACGTCAAGTTGTTCCTGTAGAAAAAAAAACATTAATTATTATACAAAAAAATTAGAAGAACACTATCACATTAAAAAAAAGTACATGAGGAAGTGCCTACCGGATCTGCCGCCCAAACACTTTCAGACCGATGGTAAGGTTGCTCATCCAACAAATCGGTTTCTCGCGGTCCACCTTGAATGTATAATCTAGGATCGTAAATACTCGGATCCATCTCGACAATTTTGAGTGATAGAAGTACCAAACTAAAGAAAAAAAATCTGATGCGGAAGATCGGGCTTAGCCGCAACCACAGAGCATATTTTTTTCTTCAAGAGTGGTGGGAGGAAGAGAGGAAGAAGAATGGAGTGGTGTGAGTTTTGGTGGAATATGAGGGGGTATTTATAGGTTCTGTGGGAGAGTGGATCGAGTTTACAAAACTCGAACAAGTGCATCGATTTTTATGCACTCGATCCGCGTCAAAAGCAGATCGTGGTTAGGCGCATCGAACGAACCAGATCGAGCTTAGGGTAATCGATCAACGGTTGATCGATGCTGACATCAGCGATCCACTGCATCGAGTTTTAGACACTCGATCCGCGTCATCGAGTTTGACGCACTCGATCCGTGTCATCCCTGCTTCGCGGGTTTGACAGTCGAACGGCCTAGATCGAGTTTAGACCACTCGATCAACGGTTGGGCGCGCCTGACGTCATCGATCCGCGTCAACTGGATCGATTATAGCTGACTCGATCCACCTACCTCGAGTTTACCGCACTCGATCCGTGTCATCACTGCTTCGATGGTTGAACAATCGAACGACCCTGATCGCGTCCTAGTAAATCGATCTATGGTGGAGCGCTGCCCAGCTCATCAATCCACTTCATGTGGTTCGAGTGTCCCATCCTCGATTCACCTGGATCGTGTTTTTGACAATCGATCCACTACTGGTTCGAGTTTTGTAAACTCGAACTATGTCAAACTTTGGTAGTTTGGGAATGTTTTTTAAAAGTTTGGTATTCTGGGAATTTTTTTTAATTATTACTGTATTTTGGGAATTAATCCCCAGTATACATTGTTGATCAGTTAAAACTTGATGATGTAACAGCAGCCTCTGAGTTATAAAATTTCACAGGTTTCCCTAAAAAAAACAACAAAGCTTCTATTTCACTACTAACACTTTATTTATTCATGGAGAGATCACCACCAAACCGACGTGTTTGTTTGTCTCGTAGCCTTTTGAAGTTATGCATTCGTCTCACTATGCCGGCCGAGTAAACTAAATAAAACATGCAAGAAAAAAATATATTTCATAACAAGACAACGGAAAACGAAGAATATTACATTAATTCTTCCCTCACAATTTCTCTCACTCATTGTAAGACCATTTCTTTGATTAAACCTCAACCATTGTCATGCTTACGTGAACACACCTTCCTTCTTCTCCTCCTTTAAAACCGAAGCCTTTCCCCTCCTTAACACCCTCCCTCGCCAACATCACCATTAATCACCTCTCTGGCGCTCTCTCTCACTCTCTAATCCCACACTAATCCTTATTGCTTTAGTTAATAACCATGATTAAAGGAGGTGGTTATGAAGTTCTCGACATGATCCAACCCCACGAACCTAATTGGGATTACTCCTCCCTCGCCTTCCCATCCTCTTCCCCGATCTCCAACCCTTTCCCCAAGCCCACCGCCACGTCAGCAATTGACAACCACCACCACGGCCTCCGCGGCGTCGTCAACTTGGAGAGAAACGAGCTCTCCGAGTGGGTCGAACACGTCACCAAACAGCTCATCGATGACTTGCCCGACACGCCACAACCCGGCCCCGATACCATGGCCGCCGCCGCCTACCGCGACAGCAACGTCGACATCGACCACTTCCGTCCCCGGAAAGTCATGCGCCGGAGTACTCCTCACCATCACGAGGAGTACTCCGTCGACCATACAAATAATAATTCCTCGGGGAGCACCAGCGACAACAGCCCAAGCGACGCCGTCTCCGACGCGCCCACCCACCAGGCGCCGCCGCCACTAAACCAGAACGACGAGCGGAGCCTGGGGCTGATCACGCAGCTCTTCGAGATCGCGGTCGCGATCTCCGTCGAGAACCTGGGGGAGGCCCACGAGATGCTCCTGGACCTGAGCCACGTGGCCTCCCCCTACGCCCCATCCTGCGCGGAGCGCGTGGTGGCCTACTTCGCCAGGGCAATGTCGAGCCGCGTGATGAACTCGTGGCTCGGCACGTGCGCCCCGCTGACCAACCACCGGGCCATCCACGCGGCGTTTCAGGCCTTCAACAACGTCTCCCCTTTCGTCAAGTTCGCCCACTTCACCTCCAACCAGGCCATCCTCGAGGCCTTCCAGCGCCGGTCCCACGTCCACATCATCGACCTCGACGTCATGCAGGGGCTCCAGTGGCCGGCACTCTTCCACATCCTCGCCACGCGGGCCGAGGGCCCGCCCCAGGTCCGGATGACCGGGATGGGCTCCTCCATGGACCTCCTCGTCGAGACGGGCCGACAGCTGTCCAGCTTCGCGAGACGGCTGGGCCTGTCCTTCGAGTTCCATCCAATCGCCAAGAAGTTCGGTGACGTGGACGCGTCCATGGTCCCCTTACGGCGCGGGGAGACGCTGGCGGTGCACTGGATGCAGCACTCGCTGTACGACGCCGTGGGGACGGACTGGAAGGCCGTGCGGCTCCTCGAGGAGCTGTCCCCACGGGTCGTCACCCTGGTGGAGCAGGACGTGGCCCACGGTCCGGCCGGGTCGTTCCTCGACCGGTTCGTGGGTTCGCTCCATTACTACTCGACCCTGTTCGATTCGCTGGGGGCGTTCTTGGCCCCCGACGATCCCGGGAGGCATAAGGTGGAGCATGACCTGTTTTTTCGGGAGATCAACAACGTGGTGGCGATCGGTGGGCCCGGGAGGAGCGGGGAGGAGAAGTTCAAGCACTGGAGGAGGGAGCTCGCGAGGAGCTCCTTCCTCCAGGTGCCGATGAGCGGGAACTCAATGGCTCAGGCGCAGTTGATACTCAACATGTTCCCCTCGGTGCATGGCTACAGCCTGGTTCAGGGGGATGGAACGCTCAGGCTCGGGTGGAAAGATACTGGGTTGTTTACTGCGTCGGCCTGGACCTCACCTGCTTCTAGCTAGCTAGCTAATTTATCTCTGCTACTTTGACTTGATCTGATATCATTTGGTGTAGTTAGTGGGTTTTTTTGGTTCATGTATCGGAATCGCGTGGAACTACAATATGGTATTGATGACGATTAGTTGTAGTTATTGGCAACGGTGTTAGTTCGAGAGAGGAGCTGATTGATATGTGCATGTACGTAGAGATGATGACACGGCCTGCAACAGATTATACAGAGGTTTTTGAATTCTATTGCTTACAATGGCAAGTGGGTATACTATTATTCTATACGTACGTAATACCATGAAGTGAAGACCAGAAAAAATGGCCCAGATGTGGCTAAGCTTGATTAATTAATTTTCATTGGCTGCAGGCTTGCATGTAGTATTATATAGGCCATGGCTTTCTAATTAAAATTTGGTTTCTCCCCTGATGTTGACAAAGTTGTAAAGGTGCAATTTGATGTGTTTTTCTGCTTGTTGCTTGTATATTTTCAGGGCTCACCACCATTATTAGTTTATGGGGCGTTCAATTCATATATATATTGTGAATATGGCCTGTTGTAGCTATCTCTTGGTTATTAATCACCATCCGCTTGTATTTAGTAGTGAAAGTAGTGATAAATAATTGTATTAGGTATAGCTTATAAATAATGCGTGTATCGAATCTCGTAAATTCATAAACGCGCAGATTGTCGAATCTCGTGAATGTTTAACTAGCTAGGCTTATCAGTACTGCTACGTTATAAATCACTTGGTCATATATAAAGTCACTTTTTTTATTTGTAGTAAGTGCATAACGAAATATTTTTACGGTTTTTTTATGTGATCACACACTTTATATAAATAGTTGTAGATGAAATTTTATGAAATTAGATGAATTTCTTCCATGTTCATAAAACGGAAAGCAAATTCCTTCCATTCGTTAGGCTATTATATATACCGTTGTTTTTTACAGATGCAGCGTAAAGGAATTTTCACCAAAAGGGTAAATACAAGGGAATTTTGATTAAGTAATATATACAGGAGAAGGGCCAAACAACATTATTCTACACACATATATATGCAGAGCCAAAAAAAAACAATTCTAGGAAAAGCTAGTACTGCGTCCTAATCGGCGGTCGTTTCTGTGCGTAAAAGACATTGCCGGCGTTGCAATTTAGGAGCAAAGAGAGGGGAAAATCAAACAAATTAGGGAACATTAGATACGGAGTAACATAGAGTTAATTCAGCACGTGATCTTAATAACAATTATATTATTACTATATGCATGTACAAGTCAAACAATGCCTTGCTCCAATATCCTTTCTTGGCATATCTGGCTCTGGCTGTACGTAATTTACTAGTTTGTTGATCATTGATTTACAATTGTGGGTTATCCCAAAGCTCATCCACAACCAATTCCGAGTCTGAAAGCTGTAGCAATGGCAGGCAGGCAGGCGTAATGAACAATCCTCGTTGGTTTTAGACGGGGTATGGTGGAATCACGGTTTGATATGAATTCATCCACAAATAACACAAAAATTATTGTACGTGGGTGATTGATCGGATGGATTGTGAGTCGGTAAATTTTCTATTCGCATTTATTAAGATGGGTGGTGAGTAAGTTGCAGGTTTACTTGGATGACTTACACCCTATTTGTACATGACAAATATTTTTTTCATCATATTTCCTAATCACACCACAAACTGACCATCAACTCATAAAGGTAGTAGTTCGAGAATATTTGTGGATTATTACTGCAGTTAACTATGTTATGTTATGTATAGATATTGGGATGCAAATTACAAACAATTAATTACATCAAAGTTGGAAAAAAAACGTTAATTTTCTCTTCAGTTAATGAAAAACTTAATTTATACATCTGTCAAAGAAGGGAAAACCACATATATAAATGGTTTTGGTCCCTAGTGATAAGTAATATGTGGTTACTGATGGAGCCACATACATGACAAAGGGAACTCATAGTATCATGCAATTTGCAATTGATTTCAACCGGACCAAGCTTATTAGTTTAAATCAAATTACCAAGGGAATTCATGGTATCATGCAATTGATTCAAACAATCCACTAAAATTACTAACATTTTTCCACCAAAACTTACACATCAATGAAAATGTCGTGACAGTTGAATTTTCATCTTAATATATTACACTTGATGAATATCCGAATATTTGAGTGTCGGCAACGATCGAACCATCTACTCATATGAATATTCGAAGATAATATACACTTAAGTTTTACAAACTTCTAAGTGCTTTGACACTATTACCTGTCATGTGTCCAATCCTTCTCATAAGCGCACACGAAACCAAAGTATGGGTTTCTTGAAGCGGCTACACTCATGCTTACGTAGGTTGAATCTCTTATTTGCGTACCCGCATAATACACTTTTTCAAAGATTCAATTAAGAAGTTTTGAACTTCACCCTCTTCTGCCATGCAGGTTAACAAGCACATACATGGGGATGACAAATTGTGTGCTTCAATTTCTTATATTGAGCTTTCCACATTGAATTCAACCTCTAACGTTGTATTAGAGGGTAATTGGGTATCTCATGATCGGAAATCATATGGACTTTAAATCAATCTCATTTGCAGACTTGACCACCAAGTCATTAGTTAATCATTTCGTCAAATGATCAACTAAATTATTTCGAGTCCGGTCACTTTACATAGACACAAATCCATGAGTGATCAATTCACAAATTTTACAATGCCTAACTCCCACATGACCATACTTATAATTTTCATTTGGTTATACACCTTAGCCGAATTAGCATTACAGTCACTATGAATAGTCATAGGTGAGATTGGTTTTTACCACTCAACAATAATGTCACTTTTTTAAGAGATATCAAGGCCACAATTTTGACTTCATAGTGGAACTAGTGATGCAAGTTTGCTATCTAGAGGCCCAATATATGGCACCTCCCCCAAGCAAGAGGACCCATCTCGATGTTGAAGTATCACCTTTAACATGAGAAATCCAACTAACATCAACAAATCTTTCCAAAATAGATGGAAAGTCACTATAAGTCAATACAATGTGTCTTTGAGATATCCTAGTACACGCCTCATTTCATTTCAAATTATGAGCACTAGGATTCCTCATGTAATGACTTAATTTTTTCTATCGCATATGCGATATCAAGCATCATGCAAGTCAAGCATACATCGAGCCCCTAATTTAACCATAATTTCCATACTTGGATCCATTGGGGTCCTTAACTCACGACAATTCCTACTATGGAATTTTTGCAAGAACCTTCTCAATGCAGAAAAATTGAGAGAAGAAATCTTTTTTGTCGTTCCGCTTGATTCAATACACATAATCACATTTTCCTCCCTCATGTCCCACAAGGGAATTCATATGGAAAAAAAAAATCCTTTCCATAAGGTCTACTTATCTTTGATTGGTCCCAAAGATAAGCATATCATCTACATACAAACATATGATGACTCTATACCAAAATTATCAAAACGTTGTATATATACTTTTGTCTCTTTGGTTTAAAATAACATAAACCACTAAACAAAATCACACCATCAAACCACTTAGACAAAACAAAATTTGTCTAAGACTTTGTAAATATCAAATAGAGAATCAGACAAATTTTACTATTGAGTATGAGACCTACACAAAGGTAATTGTCATTCTCCTATTTCTTTATTTTACGAAGCATCCTTCTTCTTCCTCATCTTTGTCTCCTTCCTCTTCCAAGTTACCTTTCACACATGGAAACACCTTGAGTAAGTAAGAAGAAAACACATCTTCTACTTCCATCGATGAAAATTCTCATCATAAAAAATTCTCAAGATTTCCATAGACCAGAATCGGTTTCTTGTAAAGAGGAGTTCGAGCCATCATACTAGAAAAATATTCTTTACGATTGTTGAGACTTTTGGGACGAGGGTATACGTACGATACCCCGATACCGGGTGACTAGGATTATGATAGAGTCGTGAACAACGTTCACTTTTTGTAAAGAATATTTCCACCCTCTACAAAGTCTTGGATTGCATGAAATTTCTTTGTAGAATAAAACTATCACCACTTTACTTTTCACGCTCATGTACCTAAAGTATACTTAAAATGAAGAAGAATGGATTTTGGTGTACTTGCATTGTGCGCCGTATGCTTTATTTATAGACATGAAACATTTACTATTGCTTCGTGAATCAAGGCTTGGGCTGTTAATTAACTGCCATCCCCAAATGTTGTCATTATCACAATAAAGCTAATCACCATGGTCAAACGTTGCATTTGATAAGTATCATTTCCCAAACGTTGCATGATTACCTGTAAAGCAAGGCAGCCCTTGATTAAATGAAATCATCACTTAAAATCACCAAGAGTAATTAACCGCCATACTAAACCAACGTAGCCAGGCCATGAACTCATGGTATCATGCAATTGATTTAAACCGGAGCAAACTTATTAGTTTAAATCAAAACCGGTTCAATCAAATTTCCAACATTTCATTCTAGCGATCCTAGAATTTTGGAGGAAGTCTGGCAGCAAGATTTGAGAGGCTCTTCTATTAAAAAAGTCAACAAGATTTGAAACCGGCTTAGATTCAAACACTGATATCCCCAACTGAGAATAACATTTCCGTAGACACAAGACGGTTGTGCATAAATATCATGCTTTGCAAAAAAGCAGAATAAAGCTTCTACAAGCAGAAAGCTATGATGAATTGGTTGGCTTTAGGAAACAGGAACGCAACGGTCTTGCACCAAACTATCAAAGTGAGAAGGGTTAGAAAACAAATAAGGAAATTGGTTTTGAAATAAGGGAAGGAGGTGCATGATACTGAAAGAATTGTTCCTAAAGCTATTCAGCTTTGTAAACATCAAGGTTTTCAACACGCGGGTTGATCCGGATCCGGTTGAGCTAGTGGGTAAAGGGTTAACGGGTCACCCGTTTTAGCCCGTTTTAGATCGAAAATATGGAAATAGTCATTATATTGAACTTATCCTGATAAATTATATAAAATCTCATCTAACATATGAGTAATAACATATAACATTACACCAAGATAACATGTCTTACTTAGATCAAACATATAGTGAAAATTCACACACCCTTATATAACATCAATATTCAAATGTTCAACCAAGGATTCCAAAAAATTGAGTTAGGCGAAAAGAAAAATCGGAAAATAGGCGCATTTCGTAAACAAAAAAAAATGATACAATTTGACCTCCAACCCGATACCTTGTAGTGGTCGACCCGACGGGCGCGTGCGACCCGTTTTTCTCACCGGGGCAGGGTCAAAGTGGGTCGACCCGCGAGTTGACAACCAATCAACACCTATTTGGACAAGTCGTGAATGAAGAAGTTAACTCTGACCTAGATATATTGGAGGATCCTACTGACAACAGGCCGAATGGAGAGGGAAGGGATAATTTTTTTTTTTTTTATCCAAGATAAGCCCCAAGGCATGGCCGGCAACAAAAGACAAAACATATAATAATAAAGAACGGTAATCCGTATGCAACCGGATTCCCGATGAAAGAGCCTGTTATGCCACTAGGTGGGCAGCTCTGAGAAAGCTCCAAGGAGCGAAAAGACACGAAACTGACACGAGGGGCAGAAAGAGAGAGAAAAGAAACTTCCCTGAAAGTGGCTCATGCACTGGGAAGAGAATGCTTCCTCGATGTAGGATCCATGTTGATTAGTTGAAAAACCCCGCAATATGTAACAATCAATACATTAAGTGTAAGATACAATCACATAGCCTCACTAAAGACAAGCAATTTGATATGATCATCGATAATATCATAATAGAATTATGAAAGTCAAATGGAATACTTCCATCGCCTGAGAAGCCGACCGAGTCAGTTGTACATCCTTGAAAATTCTTTGTAATTGTAGGGCTTGTTGAAACTAAACTGGAACAGTGTTCGGACATGATTGTGAGAAATATATTCGGCAGAAGGAGTTTCAGTTGGGTTTCTAAACCAGCGATTGGCAGTGCTGGGGGGATTCTTATTATTTGGGATTCGTCTTTGTTCAGCAAGCAATCAGAAAAGGTAGGCAATTACTGTTTGTGTGTGGAATTCCAGGATATTTCTTCTTCAAAAGTTTGGCATCTGTTAGTCGTATATGGTCCGCAGGATCGTAGGGATAAGCTCTTATTTCTTGAAGAGATCACCGGCTTCTGTCAAGACGCTCATGGCCCGATCTGTATTGCTGGCGATTTCAACTTAGTTAGAAGCCATGAAGATTACATTGGTGTTAGGCGCAGCCCGGATCTTATGGCTGAATTCAACCTCTTTATCGACAACAATGCCCTGATTGATCTTCCTTTGGGAGGGAGCAGATTTACTAGAAGTGGAGGATTTGGGTCTGGTTCTCTCTCTCAAATTGATCGGGTTCTGCTCTCTGTTGACTTTGATATATTATATTCTGATTGCTCGCTATCTGCCCTCGAGAGGTTTGATTCTGATCATAACCCGCTTCTGCTTAAATGGGGAGATGTTGGGAGAATCAAAAGGCCTTGGCGGTTTGAATCCATGTGGCTGGAAGATGAAAGGTTCTTCAGAGATATTCCGGGTTGGTTTGAGACTAGTTTATCTGGCTCTGGTTTGATTTTTCGCTGGTCTAAACGGCTTCAGGATCTGAAATCTAAGCTCAAAGTGTGGAACAAGGAGACTTTTGGCAATATTAATACCAGAATTGAAGTGCTGCTCCAGGAAATTAAAAACCTCGACATTCTGGAAGAAAATGGGGATATTTCCAGTGATGATCAGTGCCTCAGGAACAGTCTTAAGATTGATCTTGAAAATTTACTTACACTCCATGAGATCAGCTGGAGACAAAAGTCGAGAGAACTCTGGTTAAAGGTGGGAGAACGCAATTCGGGCTTCTTTCATAGAGCTGCGAACTACAGAAGGAAAGTAAACTACATTAATCTGATTAAAATCAATGGCATCCCAGTTGAAGGCAGAGAGGAACTGTCTCGGGCGGTGGTTACTCATTATCAGAATCTTTTCCTCGACAAGTTTCACTCACGCCCTTTCCCTAGATACTATATGGATTGCAGGCTTTCGGAATTGGATAAGAATCTTCTAACTCAACATTTCTCTGAAGCGGAAATTCTTGCGGCTTTGAGAGACAGCGATGGTGGCAAAGCCCCGGGCCCTGATGGGTTTCCAATGGAGTTCTACAAAAGATGCTGGGATTTGTTGAGGCCAGAGATTCTCAGTGCTTTTGGTGAATTTTATGATTCAGGCTACCTCCCAAAATGTGCTGCACATTCCTTTATTTGCTTGACTCCCAAGAAAGACACGATTGAGGATATTAAAGATTTGAGACCGATTAGTCTCTTGGGCAGCATTAATAAGCTCCTCAGTAAAGTTTTGGCTCGAAGGTTGGGTCTGATTTTACCTAAGGTGGTCTCTAAGTTCCAACACGCTTCAGTCTGTGGCAGACAGATTTCGGAAGCCGGATTGATAGCTAATGAGCTGGTGGATAGCCGGAAGAAAAGTCGAAAACCTGGATTGATGTTCAAGCTTGACATCGAGAAAGCGTTTGACAATGTTAACTGGAACTGCCTCTTTAAAGTTCTCTCGACTTTGGATTTTCCGACGAAGTGGTTGAGATGGATGAAAGGTGTTATGTGCTCCCCCATGTACTCTATCCTTATTAATGGTGAAGCCAAAGGCTTCTTCCCTGCTCAAAAAGGGTTAAGGCAAGGCGGTCCTCTTTCGCCTGGTCTTTTTGTGCTTATCATGGATATTCTTTCTTTTATGATTGTTCGACTTCAGCAGGAAGGAAAGGTTAAAGGTTTTTGTATGGATGAAGATCATGGGCTGGGGGAAGTCTCTCATTTGTTGTTTGCAGACGACTCTCTTATCTTCTGCGATGCCTCTCAAGATCAGGTTCTCAATATTTTGGCTACTCTGGTGTGTTTCCAGGCAGTCACGGGGCTGAAAATCAATCTTGATAAATCTGTTATGTACACTATGGGAGATGTCCCGGAACCAAGTTTTTTCGCTTCTATTTTCGGATGTAAATGGAGTCGGGATCCATCTGTTTACCTCGGATTTCCCTTGGGAGCTAAGCCGAATGGGGTGAATATCTGGGATCCTCTCGAGGACAGTTATAGGAAGAAACTCCAAGGATGGAGGGGGAGGCATTTGTCCTTTGGGGCTCGGATGGTCCTGATTAAATCGATCCTATCTAGCAAACCGGTTCACCTCTTCTCTTTGCTTAAAGCTCCCAGACGCACCACAAATAGACTTGAGCAAATTCAGAGGCAATTCTTGTGGCAAGGGACTGGGGATGATCACAAGAATCCCTTAGTCAGATGGGATGTTTGTAAGGCTTCAAGGAGCAATGGTGGCCTCGGCATTATTGATCTGGCCAGCTTTAACAGTGCTTTGCTTGCTAAATGGGCCTGGAGGTTTGCCGCAGAACAGGAGGGTTGGTGGAGAAGCCTTATCTCAATTAAATATCCCAACTCTTTGTCCTCTTGGCAACCTGGTCACATCCATGGAGGCTACTCGAAATCAGTTTGGTCCAACATCAACAGAGATTTTGATAAATTCTGGAAACTTGCATGCTTGGATCCTGGTTGCGGGTCAGACGTTTCTTTTTGGCATGACAACTGGTGTCCCGGTAGCACTCTTGCCTCTAGATACCCCCGTGTTGCTGCTGCCGCTTCACATCCTGCTGCCCGGATCTCAGATATGTACCATCGCTCAGGTGAGATAGTAAGGTGGGATTTTCCTTTAAATCTTTCTCTTAGGGGGGGTGCTGAGCGAGAGCATCTTGACCTTATGAGCTTTCTTAACTCTTCTGCTGCTGGTCGTGTTACTAATGGTCCCGGTAGGCTGGTTTGGCTTCCAAATCCAGACTCTGGTTTCTCTGTCTCTTTTATGTACAGGACTCTGGCGGATGATCTTTTTCCGGGGGTCGCTAATTATCCAGCCGCGTCTATTTGGAAGTCAATAATCCCCACCAAGGTGTGCTTTTTTCTATGGACATTGTCGCATATGAAGCTGCGTACGATTGACAAACTGAAGAGTTGGGGATTAGCTCTTGCGAACAGATGTGATCTATGCAAATGTCAAGAAGAGACCGCTAACCATTTATTCGTGAATTGCGCTTTTGTTCGTGAAGTTTGGCTTGGAATCAAGAGAGCATGCCCACTCGTGGAGTCGCCGTCTGGTGACATTGTCACGGTTCTGCAGACTTGGCCATCGGGGGTTCTGGATAATGTGAACTCTTGGTTTTCGTATGCAGCGCTCCATTCTGTTTGTTGGCACGTCTGGCGGGAGAGGAATCGGCGCATCTTCAATGACTCCAGTAGCCCTGCCAGAATCGTTTCCAGGAATGCGTGTAAGGAGGCTATTGATTGGATTTCTGCTCATAACAAAGCGGACAGGAGTATTTGTTCACAGTGGCTCAATGAGAGAATTCAGAGAATCTGATCCTTCTTGTTTGTGGTTGCTCTGCTCTTCGTTCTGGATTGTGGTTCCTCTTGGACTTCTGTCTGTATCTTGGTTGCCCGGCTTTTCCCTTTTCTTCTGTAACCGCTGGTAGGGGTGGTCTCGTCCATCTAACCTTGCGGGCCTTTGGTTGGCTTTCCTTCTTTTCTGGGTGGCCTGAGATCATTTCTAGTGATCTCTTCTGCCCTTGTGAACTCTGTTCTGTTTTCTTTTTGTTTAATCTCAATCACCATTATCAAAAAAAAAAAAACAATTGAATAAATCATTTAACGAGACTTGCTTTCCATCATAGGTTGAGGAGATGCTTGATCATAAATTCACAATACTAAATTTTCCTGAACAGAAACCAGCTACAAAGGCACCACAAGGTGCTAAAAATCTCTAACTGAAGAGATTAAAATATGTCAAGAGATATAGTCGGACTTCACCGAAAATTCCACATCAATAATGAAAATTCCACATCAATAATGTGGTTTCAACCTGAAGAAAGAGAGTTAATTCTGAGAAGTAAAAATATTGGATAAAATCCAATAAAAAATGGATAAGAAGATGAGAAATTCAAACCGGGAATAAAAGGAAAAGAATAGCCATAGACACTACCAAAACAGATAAGGCCATATTAAATTATAGAAATTAGCAAGCTAATTAAATAAGAGCCTTGATTGCAATTAAACTCCGCCAATAAGGACAACTGAAGCAACTGGGCGTAAATTACTCTCATAAAGTTCTAAAATTAAAATGGAAAATGAGTCCAAAACGTTGGCGACAATTAATACACATAGAATTTGAGCCAAAATAGGTAACTGCAGAAATCACTTTGAGAAATTTTTAAAATTAAAAGAGAGATAATGACCCCAATAAATTTGGCAAGAATTGATACTCAAAGAATTTGAACCAAAAAGGGTAATTGCAGAAATCACTCCAAGCGCAAAAACAACGGAAATTCACAACTAAAATTAAATACGAGCTTTTCATCATTGCCGGAAACGGAACGGAAAACAATGTACAATCCGAGCACGGCGGGCCAATGAAAGCGTGGTCGGCGAGAAAGACAAGAAGAAACTGAAACGGAGGACTCTGATGAAAGTGGTGGTTCTTGATCCGGTGAGGCAGCAAAACAGAACAAGGGATAGAACGTATAAACAATCGACAAATTGAGCTTCGACCTATTGAATCAACCAAATCCCTAAATCTGACTATTACATCGCAGATTCAAATCTAAAGCCAGATTCACGATGAAATCCTGAGCTTTCCCAAGAACAGAACGAAACCCAGAAACCAATTCTGTTCATACTTCACAGATTCGACAAACCCACGAAAAAATTGGACAAGAACTGTTGTCAAAGTATAAAAGAGATGAGATTGGAAAACTCCGCACCTTGACCAGCTTGGAAATGGAGCTCAGAGAAACTAACCATGAGATCGGCGACGGGATTCGACGGTGATCAGGCGCACAGCAGTAGTAGGATCATCATGAAGTAGGATCATCAGGCGCACAGCATTTGGACCGTTTGAGCTGTAGAGATTAGACATACACCGAGTACTAGCAGAAATGAGCTCGAAGCTTGCCAAGCTCGGGCTAGCAGCTGTACTGGCGTACGGGCTGTTCGACGGAGTGACGTACACGACTTTCTTCGTGCTGGCATTGATTGATTGATTGATTATGGAAGGGATAATCTTTGTTAGTAAGTAATGGATGCAGATAAGATAGGCCTTGTTTGACATGGGCCTTAGTAAAGCCCTGAGCCAGGTGGATGGGTTATAAAAAAAATTGAATTTATTGGTAAGGAATTAATTTAACCCCTCGACTTTTGGATTTCGGTTATACCAATAATAAATAAATAGGTTGACTCGAGGATTGGATATGTAACACTCGTTACTCATTAGAATTTTAAAGTAAAAATTGGCCCCCATTAATTAATCTTTAATTAAGCCAAAATTGACTCTAATTTACCCTAAATGTTATCTAAATCCATCCGAATAACTCAATCAGATGAATTCCTAACTTTGGTTTCACTCCGCCATCACTCAAGCAGTGTATACGTAAAAAATATTCTTGTGTTACTCCATCTCCCTGAAGTTTTGATGTATGTGTTTAAAAAACGTGGGGTAGCAGTTAACAGAAATTGATGTACTACTATACTGTGTTTTTTTTTTTTTTTTTATTCTTCTCCATTCTCCTTAAAATATTTTGCCTCCGCCACAGCTCTTTCATGAGCATCCCGTGGGTTCCATTTGGTTGCGTTCCGGTGCAAGTCGTCTGCAGTCTTGTCTTATTTTTCAAGGCACGCCGTCGTGACGATTCCGATGATGGTTTTGTGCCGAAGATTGAAATGCATCCATTTTATTATTAGTATTCTTCCTTCTTCTCTTTCTGGTATCTTGTCTTGTTCGTCATGAAATGAATTCTAAAGGGAACGAAAACCAACAAATACAAGGATGGTGATGATTGTCTTGGGACAATACTTACCAATATCACAATAGTAAAATATGGTGGTCATTCATAATATGCATAATTCAAGGTATGCACCCAAACCTAATGTAAACCAAAATTATGTTCTCAAAATTGAGCCATCAACATGGACGGAGAGAATTCGAGATTTTTTTTTTTTTTTGTGAGAACAGGACACTAAGGGCGCCCTAACTTTACCTCAAGATTAAGGGGTCGTTTGGAAGTTGCGATTGTTAAATAGATGTATTGTTGAGAATGCATGTATAATATTATACATGTATTGTCGAATTTGATGCATTGTAGAATACAACGTTTGGTATGTGTGATTGTGTATGTCGCATCAGCTAAAAGCTGAGACAAAACAATCTCAACTCAACTATCTCAACGATCACAACTAAAAGTTGAGATATAACAATCACTCAAAATGAGTGATAGTTTCTGTCACATCACAGAAACAATCCATGTATTATTTCTGCTAAAAAACAAAAAAACGATACATTGTAAACAATACATGCATAATGACAATCTCAACAAACAATCGCAACTTCCAAACGACCCTAAGTTCCAGGATGAGAATGTAATGGGAAGGGTTTTTTTTTTTTTTCGTTGAATGGAAGGTATTTTTCCCTGCGTGTATATTCGAGAACTTATTGATCCAATTGATGGAAGTAGAAGAAAAGACCATTTCCTTTCCTCCATATAATTTTGTAACTTCTTAACATTGCGTGACCATTTTATTACATGGCCCGAACTTTAGGAGTATCTTCTGTGATTTTGTCAATCACGTAGCAGTGAATTGAGACTTGTTTTAACAAAATTGGCAGTGCAGTTTGAATGTTTTGATTCTTTTAGTAGTCTTCTCAATGAATATATGCAACTGGGATCGCTATAACAACAGTTATCCACAAGCCAAATACCGCGAATGTACAGATGAACTGTGTGGTGACGATGAATCGAAAACCTCAACTGTACACACAAATGGAGGGGTCGAGGAGGATGCTGGGCACAATATCAGATGTTATTACTTATTACCAGTTAGCTCTTCGTCTCAAGGGTTCCTGAGAGCTGCCAACCTCTTCTCCAGCTCGTCAATCCCGGAGCTACTACTGCACCAACCCAGACACGGGTGATAATAACATCATGTCACATAAAATTCAAGAAACTAAGGGGCTACTAACTTCAGTTACCGACTCCAATTTGTTTAAAACCAGTGAGAAATGTGAGTACCTGGCAACATCCTCTTTCTTCCCTGCAATCTTCTGTTTTGGTGCTGATGATAACTGCATAGAATCCGATAATTGGATGTCAGATACATGGAGCATAAAAAGGATACGAATTGTTCTAGTCAGACCACAAACTGGAGTAGCACAGAGTCGATTTACAGCAGATACCGACCTGTGAAGCGACATCTACACCAATTTCATCCAGCACCTGCCAAAAAAATGTTCCAAGGAATGTGAGAAGTTGAAGTACATGAACTGATACGAAAACCAATGGATAGAACAAACTGCACCGTGTCAGAACTGAAATTTACCTGATTTGTCAAGTCTTCACTCTCCTCTTCAGCCTCGTCATCATCAAGGACCTCATCTATGGTGTCTGACATCATCTCGGTCTACATTTAAATATTCCAAGGCAATGAGTGCCGAAAGATTTGGAAGGGGGAAAACAAAAAAGGCAAGGTTAGATGATTTGAATCTCATTGCTGCAAGTATTGTGATATAGAGGATGGACTTACAGTCATATCCATCTGTGCTGACTGTTTCTGGAATTCCATCATAACCTTCGCTTGCTTTGCAGGATCCATTTGCTAACGAATAAAGAGATAACCCATAAGTCGCTTATTATGTGGTTATTGCCAAAAGTACTGATGAGCTATAACTATAGACGTTTGGTCTACAGAACCAAGTGAAGCAACACATCTGCTTCTCTTAACACTCCAATGTCTTGCACAGCAGAGAAAAACTCCAAACCAGAACCATAGTTACAGATTGAACACATCTATTAACACCTATTAAGAAACTACTTTCGACCCAAGTAGAACAAACCTTATTCATAGACGACATTGCCTTAGTAGCACCTTTCAAGCCAGTGGCAACTGAAGATTGAGCATGCAGTGCCTGCAACATCGGCAAAATGTTAGTTGAAGAGTAAATGTCAGCTGCTCTACTCTCTCAGGCATGTGCGACCACAATAACCTGACATCATACCTGTGTATGTGTTGCAATGCCTCTCATTTGAGCTCGACTACCTTGTAAATTTGCTATTTGCTGCCTAAGCCTGACTAGTTGACGGGCCAAGATCTTGGTTGCAGACTGCAAAAGCAAAATTAAAAATAGTGAAGAAAAATTGGATGACATAAGAGCCAACATTGATCAAGGATGAGAAGATTCTGGCTTTGAAAGGACACATGGTTCACTTGGCATAAATATTGTAGCTCTGAGCGTTTAAGTTCAAAATAAATAAAAGCATCGTAGTCCCATGATGCATCCTGGGTTCCCATGCAAGCCACATACTCGTATCTAAGACAAAGAAACAGTCAAGCTCGGAACTTATTCAAGCTTTGTCAAGGTAGCTCAGGAAATAGGAAATCATGTTAATTACTTATTCCTCAGTTGTAACCACAAGAATCCAGAATCGGCTGTGAAATGCTAACTAATTCAGTTGAGTTTTGAGCGAACACACAAGTAGAGTTACTCCAGGGACTCCAGGTCACGGCCCTAGTCCAGCACATAATTCACAATCCTATAATCCTTTTGAACTCTGATCCACATTTATTTGAATTGCAGTTGGCAGAAGAAAGTTTCAGATAAAGTTAGTGTTATAGAACCATGCTACAATATCCAATTTCAAGACTAATAGACTCTTAAAATTCTGAAGCCAAGAGCTTAAAAGGATCATAACTAGTGAATTCCTGATAAACAAAGAGGGCCTCTTAACTCTCAAAACTAAGAGTAAAACGCTGAAGCTCCCTGTGCACATCCCCCACCATTTAAGCTTCAAGAATCACACTTCTTCACTAATCATATAGTGCAACAACCTAAGAGTAGGTTATGCCTCTCGAGAACAACATTCAGCTAGTGAAATTAACTTGACAAGTGCAAATAGCCAACTTCAACAGCAAGTTGAAACTTTGAAACTAAATTTCACAGAATCAGAACACACTATATTCTAAATAACTGGAAATAGGCCTAGAAACTCAGATAAATTCCCAAGGGTTAAATCAAAGCATCGACCTACCTCATTCCCAGTCTTAGCCGTCCTCTTAATCTCCGCCACTAGTCTCTTTTCCTGACAAGATGACAAGTCCATTTTAGGCTAGCTCCAAAGAAGAAATTCTTTTTAACGATAGAATGAAAGGAGGAACAGATTGCATTGTTGAGAAACATATCCATACTTCTGACTGCAGCGCCGAAATTTCCTTCTCTATACCTGAATCCATAAGAACAAACCAAATACATCATTATTACTTACTTGAAGATGATTCAATGGTAGCTTCAAATCACGGTGCAGAAACATAAATTTCCTATCGATCAACGGTAAGCATGAGCAAAACTTGTTTGATTATTACCTACCTCTCGTAGCATTTTGCATTTGTCTCTTACTCTCACGGAGAGCCTCTGCAATCCAATAAAAAAAGGAGAACAATCAGATCAGGAAGGAGCAGGATAAGAGGGTTACGCAATTCCAAATTCCAGAAACAAAACAGAGTGACAAATCAATTGGACTTGGCCGCCGGCGCCGAACTTTCTAAGAAGTAATGAAAAAAAGAGAACTAGAGAAGCTATAAGGATTTGAAGAGAATCGAGTGCTATTCATCAGTGGAAGCGATCGAGTGATCAGAAAGCTGTGGGGCGTGGGTGATAATAAGCGCAATTGAGTATAAAAAAATTACAGAGAGAGAACCTTTGGAATTAGGTTTCTTGCTGAAGATGTTCATTGTTTGTGTTTCTTTCACTTCGTGACCGCCACGGCCTAACCTGGAGCCACCGATCAGAGGAATAGAGCAGGAGAAAGAAGAAGATGAAAGGCGCCCCCAAAGAGTTTGCGGGATTTTACTACCTCTTCTTATATACGTCGATGGTCGATCCTTTTCTCACATCATTCATCAATAATCAAGGACTTGGATCGCTGATTTGGTAAAAACAGAGGACTTAGATTGCAAATGTTTAGTTTTGACTTCGCTAAATTAAATTACACGTTTGGTCACTTAAATTATACAAATCTTTTATGTTTGTCACCGGAATACTTTTCTTTCTAATTCGTCACTAACTTTACAAATCATTTTACCTAGGGGTGGCTATTTGGACCGGGACCGGATTAAAAACCGGAAACCGGACCGTATAACCCGGACCGGGACCGGATAGTAAACAATCCAATCCAATCTTTGGGCTTAGATTTGAGGTAAAAAACCGGATAAAGACCGGATAAGAGAGCTCAACACCCAAAACTTAAGGGTAATTTGCATAAACTGTCACAAACCTTTGCACTTAGTACAAAACTTAACCAACTCCTCATCCTTTAAGGCCTTAGGCCACTCAAATCCCACAATCTCAATGTAAAATCAAGACCGAATTGGGACCGAACCGGATCAAGACCGGACTGTATCCAATCCAATCTTCGGTCCTTATATTTTCAAAAAGACCAGACTGGACCGGATCAATTTGGGCCAATTTAACCGGACCGAACCGTATAGCCACCCCTAATTTCACCGTTAGTCACCTACTGCAGTCTTCGTCAGACTTCGTTAGATTTTTTATGACGTGGCAAATAGAATTATTGAAAAGACTGTTAACTCAATGACATGTAATTTAAAAAAAAATATATATATTACACCTCTTTCTCTCCTCAAATCTGCCGCACAGTTTCTCTTTTCCTTCCTCTTCCAATTCGCACCACCAGCTCCCAACACGAACGACGGTCACCGCCAGGTTGCAGCCTTCATCCCCTTCACAAGTCCTCCATCCGCGGCCTCCCAACAAGAACGACAGTTGTCCGCAGTTACATCGCAGCTTGAGGTTCCAAGTCCACAGCTCGAGTTTAGCACCAATCTCCCGAAACAATTTGTCTGCGGTGTCGCTCTCCCCGCAAAATGTCACCTCCTTGTAGCCGCACTTCACCAACAATGGAATCTTCTCCTTATCTCCGAACTTCCTACTATTCCGCAACACCTCCATTGTCATATTCTGATCCACAACCGTCGGTGCTTCCTTCCCGTCCGTCATTGCATCTCTTCCAATTTGTACGATCCCAGAGTCCTCTCGTTGAGGAGCTCTCCTCCGTCTCCTTTGGGGAAGAGCCTCTGTCTAGTGACAACGATGCCCAATTGGAATTGAATTGCCTATTGAGGTCAAGCACGGTGGAAGACATCAGGTAGGCGAATTTGGTTTACGACACTACTTTTCAGCCATGGATATTGTATGTCGCCACCATGGCCATTGTCTCGCCGGGCGAATTGAGCTCTGTGCTTTCTGATCTGATGTTTAGGGTAGCTACTAGAGATTCATCGACAGATTTCCGAGGCCGCCTCGATCCCCAGATTTGCGTGGAATCTACCAAGGACCTGGGGACGGGAAGGAAGAAGACGAAGAGGATGTTGGAGGTGGA